TTATAATTTTCTATGGAAAATATTTTCACATATTTACAGCAGTGTATTTCATACTCGAGTGCCTTTGATAAAATATATTAATAGAAGCTTGTATCCTCTATATTGAATTATTAACTTTTCTTTGCTATAAATATTATACTCTTTCGTCGGTAGTTCTATCGTTGAACAAAAATTATTCGTACAGCTTGGTATCTTGCGTGAGAGATTAGAAAACACAAGAAACGTAGTTGACCAAGTTTATTCACTTGTGAGATGACATGCAAAAGTGAGACGAAAAAAAATTACCATGTTTGCGTAAACGCAAAATACAGTAATTAAAGGAGGAACATGAGGGAAATGGAAAAGATTACAGCACAGTGTGAAGCATGGTAAAATGGGAGCGCGCTTTTCCAAGGGAAAACACCCCCGTAATAATACGTAACAGTTCAACGGTATTTAAACTTCGCTTTCGAGCTCAAAGGGAGTCTCAAGCTGCACGTTTCATCAATTTCTCTTCTACCACTGTGTTTCTTTACTCTCGATATACTCGAGCTTTTCCTTTCTTTTTATTACCGTCATTATTGCCGTCCCTTTTTACCTCGCTGTTATTTCCCTTCGAAGCTACTCCGCGCCATCATCGCCTCATCAACAATCAGCCAGAAGAATTTCATTCGTTATTAATTTTCTCTGCCTCGGTATCAAATGTTAAAAATTGTATTCGCCGAAACGTACTATCTTCGCCCCCGTTCTCTAATATTTCCTTGAGAGATCCACTGATCGTCTATTATTGATATTTCGGAGAGGCAAGGAGAGTCCGTACGTTTTGTAATATTGTAAACACGAGGAAAAATTGCCTGACTGAAAAATATGACTGCAAACAAATCCTATTTATATTCATTTCCCGGTACCATCAAGAGAAACAATTTTAACTTTTGCAACTATACTGCTGTAACTATTCTCCTCTCCCGCCCCCCCCCCCCAAACCAATCACACCCGGAATTTTATTTTTCACCGTGCAATCTCGTGCCGGCGTCACACACGTGTGAATATTCTGCGGCGTCAAATGAAAAACAGGACTTTTTTTTCTGCAACGAGCAAAACGGTGATAATTTTTAGTCGCGCAGAAACAAAAAAGGAACGTGAAACAATTGATTCGCGAAAAGGTGCACTTCATCAATTTCAATAACTTTCACTTTTGTATCCACACTTTTAGAAGAGTTCAGATTAAATTACACGGTTTGAAAGTTTTTAATTTTAATCGCTTTCAGCCATTTTTTTTTACATTAAGGTGGTTATTATTTTCAGAATATATTTTAGTAATATTACAGTAATTATTTGTAGAATATTATCACTTAGTTATTTTAATCAATTTACTGTTAAACCTATTTACCTCGTAATTTTAGTCTAATTTTTACGTTTGTCTGTCAATTTAAATCAAACTCGTCTATCCAGGACTGATATAATATAAATTGAAATAATATAAATTTAATTATTTGGTATAAATTAGTATTAGTCATTTCTTTTGTCCACCATTTGAACTTCGAAGTGCCATCAGTACGCGTGATGAAAAGAGAACAAAAAGAGAAAAGGGTAAAAACTATGTAACGATAAAAAAAAAAAAGAAAAATAAAAAATAGAGAGCGGCAGTGGATCGCGGCAGTGAAATAATGTTTCCATAGGCGTGAAAAACTTTTTTTTCTCCTCTTCCCCATCAATATCTCGATGACCTCGATGGGAAAGCCAACAGGAGGAATAGAACTGTAGGCAACGCGGGCCACGCGTGTATTTATGTGACGTCGGTAGCGGAAACCGTCGCGGTCCTCTGGAGAACGCTTTTCGAGTGTTATTTCGTACTGGCGGAAACCAGCGAAACAATGACGTTTCGATGAATTTAATGTGAGCGGTCCCATGAAACGAAATGGTCCGCTAGGTCTGAAGTAACAAAAATTGTCGACCAATCAAACTTGTCGCCGGAACATTTTCGAAAATGGCACAAATATTGGAGGAAGTGTAACTAGATTTGTGCATTTAAAAATTTCTCTGATTAGAAATTTGCTTTGACTATCGAGTGTGATGTTAAAAACATTATTCTTGGATATTTTGTCTGTTCCTGCATATTGCAGAAACGTGAAAATTTTCAGAGTAGTTTCAAGAATCAGTATTGATAGTAGGCAAGGAAGTGTTTAAATAGATATATTGTCGAATAAAAGCTGCACTATTTTATGATTAATGACATTGATTGTATAATAGTTTCGTATTTGTATACTTTCTGATTGATTCGTACTAATTGAAATAAAATCTCGTATGACAGTCAATGTGTAGACGAAACTTAGAATATTTTACGTTTAATTATTCATTGTGCAGTTTGAAAAAATGGAATCTATGGAGATTTGCTTATTTACGCATTTTTCTATGTATGTGCATTGTATTTATTTTAGCATGTTCCGATTTCCCATAAATGCACAAAAAGTCAACAGAGGGGGATTATTATTATTTCCAGAGAAAATTATTTTGCTTCATACATTTCACTCCCTAAGAAATATTCCATACGTATTTTAACTTGATATTACTATTCTGCAAAGTTACTTTAATGTTACAATAAATATAAAAAAGAAACAATAAAATATTCAATTCTGTTTTATTAACTTGTTCAAACAACTTGTATGCTACTTCAAAAGTCAAATTAATAATTTAATTAATAATTTTCTACTACAATTTAACGAATTTAACCAGATTGCGATGGAAGTGCTTGGTGGGATACGCTGTATTTATTTAACAGCGTTTGTATTGTATAATTAACAACGTTTGTTTGAGCCATATTCTATTTGCTTGTAGAAAATTGTGTATTTATTGCGTAAATTTGCGTTGAGACCATAAACGAAATTATCGTGAACGATTGCTCAACAAGTATAAATTCGCCCTTCTATATTGTTTATTTCGAATCTAGTTGATTCACCTTAAAACTTTTCGCCAAGAAATCCTTCGATTCTACTACACTGGTTATTAACTACCAAAAATTATTTTTCTCATATCTACACTTGCATCATCGCAACATTTTCCTTTTGCAGTGACTTCTAATACCTTCGAAACAATATTTCTGAATATTGAACACGGTCCAATTCCAGAAACTATTTCGTAGAAACGAATCTCGTCGATACTCGGAAATTCTACGCGAGCAAAGAAAAGAAAAGACTGCATGCCACGCCTAACACAGCTTAAGAAACAAACTGTAATAATACCATAAGAATGCATAGAGTGCGAGCGTGTGCCACCAAAGTAGGTCCCTTAATTCCATGGAATTAAGATTGCAACTCCTAACACGAGGCTGGCGTGACACGAAAGTCACATAAATTCGAATCGAAACGACAATGTTAATTCTCACGACCGCTCGTACGTGAAGTGGAATTTAAATCACGAAAATCCCCGCCAGCCAGCCATTAAATTATCTCGGTCGGACGATAATTTTCGAAATTTTCTGTATCAGATCGATGGATCTCTGTATCAACGTTTCGTGGTCACTCTTGTGCAGAGAAGATTCAAGTACCGCGAACAAATCGAAAAGAAATCGCACCTGATGCACGTGAAGTTCCGGTCTCGCGGAAACGTGACGTTCCCTTGCCGCGAATATAGCGTCCGTGGGCGAAATTACTTCTTACGCGAGGTGAAAATATCACTGACGGGACGTTGGTAGTTTTCGAACGTAATTTAAACTTGCCTCGAAGTTTTTTGTAATTAAACTTCCGAACTCTATGCGAAGAGATTCTTCAGCGGTGTCATTTTTCTTTTTCCCGGCTTTGATTTTCGCGGACTTGGTTACACCGACGGGCAGGAATTGTTGAGAGATTTGAGAGAATCGTCAAACGTCGGATTTCCATCGTGTACCAGGAAGCAAATTCTTCTATCGGATTCTTCTTTATTCGTGCGTGTTGGTTTTTCAAAGTAGAGATTCGGATTAAATCTTTTTAAATTACTCCAGTATGAAGTAATTAAATTTAAGTATTACATAAATGTGAACAACTTATCCAAAATTTTAAGTTTTTAAATTATTCTAACATATAGTAAATGAAGGAATAGGTATAATTATTTTTAGTTCCTTTTTAAATTACTTTACTGTATAATAATCGAATGAAAAATTTCCAAATTTATCTGAACTCTTTAAATCGTGCGTTTTGGCTTTGCAGGTAGAGATTAGGATTGCTTTTTAAATTAAAAGTAATTAAATTAGTAATTAAATTTGAGTATTACACAAATGTGAACAACCTATCCAGAATTTTAAGTTTTTAAATTATTCTAACGTATAGTAAATGAAGGAATAAATATAATTATTTTTAATTATTTTTTAAGTTACTTTACTGTATAATAATCGAATGAAAAATTTCCAAATTTATCTGAACTCTTTAAATCGTGCGTTTTGGCTTTTCAGGTAGAGATTAGGATTGCTTTAATTAAAAGTAATTAAATTAGTAATTAAATTTAAGTACTACACAAATGTGGACAACATATCCAAAATTTTAGCTTTTATTCTAACGTATAGTAAATGAAGGAATAAATATAATTATTTTCAGTTTTTTTTTTAAGTTACTTTGAATTGAATGAAAAATTTCAAATTTATCCGAATCCTTTAAATCTCTCTTACGAATTATTTTACTCTTCTTCATTTATAACATTTAAAAATAAAATCTCTCTCTCTCTCTCTTTTCCAAAATTATTAAATCCTTCTTTGAACCATTTTTCACCCATATATCGAACAATTTATAAATAAATTACAGACTAAAAGCAGAGATTAGTACATCTGTCTATAGAAATGGACACCTGGTATACCTCTGTAACATATAAGCTGTTGATTTATTTGGAAACGAAACTTTCTGTACCACGTAGTATAGGAAAGCATCACCATGCATTTTTCATCTGCTTTTTTTACGTAATACGCGCGAAGCTTACATCTACATACAATGACCAATATACACATAAATCGATACATTGGGGATCAAAAATCGTACGAGTATCTAGGAAACACTCACCTCGAACACGTATCACTATCCTGCACGTGCTGGTATAATTCGACACTGGTGACCATGCTGTGAAAGTGACGACCGTCGTGCCCGCTGGTAAATCCGCTTGCAATTGCTTGGCCCACGATGGCGAGGCGTCCACGTATCTGGAAAGTAACCGAGTCAACCACTATGAATCAACATGGAATACAGTATCGCCATACAATCACAGATTCGTAGAGGTTCTATCTATTACATAAGTTAGTGAAATTCGTTTTGTACAATGTTGATACGAGAAAAATTTGTATAATAGAAGTATAAATGGATCTCCTCACTACTAGTGATTTTTCGTTTATGTAGTAGGACGTTGAAATCAGTGATCATCAACAAAAAAGAAATCATTTAAAATCAATAATGCTAACTAACAATAAAATATTAATAATGAAATAGTAAAAATATATAATTAATAGTAAAATAGTAGACAGAATTCATATTGTAATTATATAATATAGGTATAGTTGAAATAATTATCAATATTTCTCAAATTATTTTCTTGTTAGAACAGCTCTTTATCTTTTGAACATTTGTTTTCTTTTTTTTTCTTTTCAATTATAAATCAAACGAAGAAGATTTCTCTTATATTGGCATAAAGGTTGTACTGCGTAATAATAACTCATATTGACAAAAAGATTATTATATTGCATTCCATGTACTACGTAATATAATATAAATTAATTAGGCATGAATGCTAAATTAAAATTTAATTATGTGTATATTTCTTCTAGCGATATGCAGATGACGAACGTAATTTAATTGCGACTGAATTCTAAATTAAAATTTAATTGTAACATTCTCCTGCGTACACAAAGGCTGCAAACATAAGTTAATTGTAAATTAACTCTAGCAAAGATTCAATTGCAATATATACATTCTTCACGTTTGAACGTAATTTAATTGCAAACTAGTTCTAAATAAACATTTAGTTGCAGTGTAATTAAACTGTTATTCTTCCAAATTTACAATTCCATAATGTATTATCTTTAATCATTAATTTGGAAAGTTGTTGAAATTGATCTGAAATCAATAGAAAATCAAGTAGCGCGTTTGTCGAATTGTCGTGTAAGACTGAATGATTATAAACCGACGTAATTCGTAACCTAAGTCATAATCTTAATCTGTAATCCAATATGATCGTAATTCAATTGTTACCCTTTTAAATTTACAATCTACAAACCTGATGAACAAGGAATTAATTAACCCCTTGCGCTGGCAACTGGTTCGCGGACCATAACGAGTGACCGAACCGCATACAATAATTTGTCGCTTTCTTTTTCTTTTGAGCTCGTCGGCATGATATCACTGGATAGAAATTATTGATAAATTTATTATTCGTTTTGCCTATTTTGTTTCGCTTAAATATACTTAAAAAAAAAAAAAAAAAAACTGAGAAAATATTACAATTTTGGAGCAAAAAGTTCTCGTCATTTCAGCGCAAGAGGTTAAAGGTTATCATCACTTCGTAGCCATTAATTATTTGATACAATTAAAAATAAAACCAAGTCATCCGCTTGATCCAATTAACGTTAAATCCGGACTGATCGCGTACGATCGACTTTCCTCTCAGACAAGTTTGTCAGGAATATCGATCGACAGCCGATTAACACACAGGCGATAAATCCGCGTCGTCTTTACGATCCCCATGGCGATTGACAGGGAGGGGTTGGCGCGGCGTATGATTTCTCTATCGGGCCGCGTAAAGGCATGTGCACGAGCGACGCTCGGCTGAATAAATAGAAACACGAGCACAAATACCGGGGTAAAGACGTGTATACGGCCTTGGAAGGAAGCCCCTAAGCTCGTTTGGAATTCCCATTGTACGCTGTGGAAGCCTTGCGAGCAGTCCCGGTTGCGACGCAAGATAAACCATTCTATTGTGGTGACATATTGCAGCGGAGAGATTCGCGAAAAGAAATTAATTTCGCCTTGCCGCGCCAGGCACGTGGGAGATACTACTTTCACCGGCATGTTTAATGCGTTAATTAATCTGTGACGAGGGGGGATTGCGGTTTGGAGGAAGTGACGTTGGTTTGGATTAGAAATTGATTTGCTGATGTATACAAAACATTACTGTGGAGAACATTTTTGCGTACAGTGATACGTGCGTGTGTACATTATGTGTCTGCCATGTAAAACATTTTGAAATTTCATTAATATTGTAAAGAGATACACTCTACTGTCGTGATTATTTTGGTAAAGTTTGGAATCAATCTGAGAATGATGTACGTGTATATATGTATGTAGTTGCAAGATATTTATTATAGAGACAAGAATTGTTGTACATCGTGTGTGTTGTGTAAACACATTTTAAAAATTACTACAAGATATTTATTATGGACTCATCGTTATGTACTCTGTAACGCTATCATAGTTATATTGATAAAATTTCAAATTAATGTGTGAAAATGTACATAAAGATTACAAAATATATATTGTAAACGTATTAAATTCGTATTTAAAAAATTAGTATGCAGCGTGTAATTAATGTTAAATATTAGGCAGTTAATGTTAAAGTTGAATGTTTGGATATATAAATACTCTTGCGAATGTGTTCTTGTAATTTCAATATACATATATTTCTAGATTTCAAACTCGATTGATATAATCACGATCTCATCAGGGTGTTAATGAAAGATAATGTAATTTATAAAATTTCTTGATTAGAGGGAATATTAAATTGATACAAATTGCACAACTATAAAACGATTAAGTACGCATAGCTTGTACCTTTATCAATCCTACCTTTCTTCAACATCCAGTTTTCAATCGAATTACCAAATTGCACAGAACTATAATACAACTAAATTGTACACAAAGTAACTAAATTATACAGAATGAAATATTATCATGTATTGACAATGCATAATATTTTATAATATCATATAAAGTAATTTATACAAACAGTAAGAATTCTTGTTCCTGCAACTGGTACGAGAGCTTTAAATGCTTTTATACGTAAAGGACACAACATGTAATTAACTATACAGGCTACCGGCCTGTTAGTGTTAAAAGAAACCACTCTAATAATACTTCCAATTATACTTTTCGCAACCAATTACTTTATCGATCCTATCTTTCTTCAACATCCAGTTTTCAATCGAATTACCAAATTGCACAGAACTATAATACAACTAAATTGTACACAAAGTAACTAAATTATACAGAATGAAATATTATCATGTATTGACAATGCATAATATTTTATAATGTCGTATAAAGTAATTTATACAAACAGTAAGAATTCTTGTTCCTGCAACTGGTACGAGAGCTTTAAATGCTTTTATACGTAAAGGACACAACATGTAATTAACTATACAGGCTACCGGCCTGTTAGTGTTGAAAGAAACCACTCTAATAATACTTCCAATTATATTTTTCGCAACCAATTACCATTAGCCTCATCATCCACACACTTTACCACTTGAAATAGTTTCTACTCTCTAACTACTCACCTTATCTCGCTACTCACCGACGATGAATCACGAGATCCAATCTACGGTTACCTGCAGAAATGGCGTTAGTCATAATAACACGGGCAAAATGTCTTGATAAATACCTCCACCAGTTCATGTTGGACTTTGGTTGAGGAAACGAGACGCGTATCGTGTTCTGCCTTGCGGGTAGCTCGACGTCCATGTCTCGGGGACACCTGACGAACGGTCGTGGCGTGTCTGAAGCAACAAAGCCCGGTTATTAAACGCGCGGTTTTCCGCGAAACGTTCACCTGCAATTACAGGCCGATAGCTGAACCAGAAACTAAACGTTGTGCAACTATTTTCGCTTGGATTTATGATAGCCAAGTTTGAGTTGAGAGCCGAGAAGACAGTCGGCCAGCGATTCTAGCGGTTCGTTCCAGTTCACTTAGTGACATAACGATGGATAATGATGGATTACGGATAATATTACAAGATTTTTCAAGAATTATTGGACATCGTGTTCGAACTTATTCGCAGACACTGGGATTGAGGCAATCGTCATCGATGAAATGAAATTGGATACTTGAAAATCCTGAAGATCTCGATTACTTCGATAGTTTGACAATAAAAGTTTCACCGAGCAGCATTTTTTTTTTAACGTTTCAGTCTATATATAGGACACGTGAGAGTGATATGCACGTAAAAATTCCAATTTTTAAATGTTCCAATATTATGAAAAAAAAAGAAAAAGAAACAACGCATTACAACTATTTTTGTAAGTAGTGTAGACGATGGAGTACATCGGTATCGTCTAGTATTGCCATCTTTTCAAGCTGCCAGCTATGCCGTCGTCCCGCGACGTCCACGAAAATGATCACGTCCCACCGCGAAATTGTCTCACGACTCGTGGCTCCGAGAGTAAATCGAATTATCGGCTCGGTCTCTCGCCAAATTGCCCGAGGGGCTCAATTACCGCGTCTTCACGGTGAACTATCCCCTTTCTCCTCAAGATCGGCCGGCTACTTTACGCGTTCAATTGTTTGGCGATGTTTCACCCTATATTTCGTTTAATTATTTATATATAATTTTATTATAATTATGCCGTATGTAATTACTTGTATGTAATTTTATTATCAATTTTATTATTAATTTATATACAATTATAAATTATAAAATATAATTATATGTATTATTATAATTTTTAATACTTATTATACATAATTTTATTATAATTTTATATATAGTTATATTTTTAATATTTATTATACATAATTTTATTATTATAATTTTAAATATGATTATATTTTTAATATTTATTATACATAATTTTATTATAATTTTATATATGATTATGTTTTTAATATTTATTATGCATAATTTTATTATAATTTTTAATATTTATTATACATAATTTTATTATAATTTTTAATATTTTTTATACATTAATTTCATTATAATTTTATATATAATTATATTTTTAATATTTATTATGCATAATTTTATTATAATTTTATATATAATTATATTTTTAATATTTATTATGCATAATTTTATTATAATTTTATATATAATTATATTTTTAATATTTATTATGCATAATTTTATTATAATTTTATATATAATTATATTTTTAATATATTTATTATACATAATTTTATTATAATTTTTAATATTTATTATACATAATTTTATCATAATTTTTAATATTTATTATACATGATTTTACTATAATTTTATATATAATTATAATAATTTTATTGCAAAAGGCCTAACAGTTTCCCTCGCCTCCCCCTCCCCGCCGTTTCTATGCATACAGAATGCATACGCTCGTCAAGCTGAGAGAGTGCCTGGTCGCTGGTAAATGGCGTGGAAGGCAAACGTTTCTGCGACCTGATTCTCTCCCTCTCTCGTCGTCAAACGACCGAAACACGTACGGTTCGAACGGTTATATTGCTATTGATTGGCAGTTAATTCATACGTTTGGTTTTCTATTTGGTTAATGAGATTGGTGCTTCGTATCGATTGCAATTGATCGCCTTTGATCGTTGGTTGGAAAATTGGCGAGGTTTCTGTTGAGAAAATTATTTGTCGATCGATCACGAGTAGTTTCACAAGAAAATGTATTTTAATGATAGTGTTACTTGATAATGTTCGTGTTCGGAATTTTTCTTGTTAAGAACTACCATCGAGTATTACTCTTAATTGATTATTCATGGAAATTAATACGTTGAACTAAGAAATTTTTTAACGATACGAATCATTTAGGTAACAATTGTGATCTTAACATGATACAATGTCTTATTTAATATATAATTAACAGAGCAAAATATATAGATGAAACACAATAGTGAAATAATGAATATATAAAAACAAGACAATATACTATAATATGAAACAGTCAAATAAAATTTTCTAGTTACAGAGGATTAAAGAGCAACGTTCAAATTTCACTACCAAACTGTGTTTCCTACCAAAGAAATTTCAAATCCCGCTTGAAATATTCAATGTAGCCGTCTCTCTCGTTCTCCCGGATACACCACAGTTTCACTACTACCTGTTCCGGTCTGGAACAAAACTTCAGAATCGCAACAACAACCTGTGCAACCTCCTACTTACTAATCCCAGCACCGAAACCTGATAACGATAAATTCGGATTAACGCGTAAGCCTGATAAGCCATAAGTCTGATTTGTAACGACTGGAAGTTCCTCAGAAAGGCCAGACCAATTACGAACGTATAAAGCACGGAGTGTGTCACTATTGACCCCTGCAGAGAGCTATTATCAACTTCTCGCTGGAGGACCATCGTAATCTAAAGTATCTGTAACTTGACAACCTTTCAATATTAAATTCTACAAGCCGAGATCCATCTCCGTTGGGCTTACTTTCGTATTAGCATCTGCGACGCTGAATATTCTCGATGTGTGTCTCTCTCTCGAGCAGCTTGAAGCAGTATCTCTAATGGCTATCGCAACTGAGAAGTGACTCTCGATGCTAAAACTTGTTGAATAAAATAGCATTGAATTTATAATCAGTACGTATAGCACGCGCTATAGCACTATCTTCAAAGTATTCCCCCTTGGGGGAGAGGAAGATAGCTCCTTTAATCCCTTGCGTTGGCAACTGATTCGCGGACCATAACGAGTGAACCGTATGCAATAACTCGTCGCTTTCTGTTTCTTTTGAACTCGTCGGTATGATATTCACCGGATAGAAATGATTAAGAGGTAATAAACTTATCATTTGTTTTTGTCTGGGTTACATTTAATTATACTTGAAACTGAGAAATATATATATTGTATAATGTGGGACAAAAACTTCTCGACGCGCGTGGCACGTCATTATTGAAAATAAGATGTGTTTTGAATGTTCCTCGCGTGAAGGTGCGTCAATATTTTGCAAAATATATGTCCTCTCGAGAAGCTTCTGTTTTGTTATTTTGCTTAAGTTTCATTATTTAAAGGTGGTGAAAGTTTCAAAAATCTCAGAGCACTTTTTTAGAAAGAAAAATTATTAATAGCGACAGGAAAGATTTCCAAAATCGTGAGATACGAGTAATAAACAATAAAAAAATAGCACAAAAAATAAGAATAATATAGATTTAAGTAATAAATATCCAAATAAAAATAAAAAAGTGTGTAAATGTGCCAGGGGCACGTTACGTCATAATAAATTATAAATTAATTATAATATCAAATGCTATCAATCCTCGTTTTGTTATATATCTACAACACGCAGATGTAGAGATCTTCAGAGCTTCTAAACAGGTTCAAGGTAGATTTTATGACCCCGTGTCGAGAGGTGGAATCTCCTCGAACTTTGAACTGGTTCGTAATGGATTTCATTGTTTCAGATCGTGATCTCTGAACTTTTAATTGGCGAGATTCTCTGACCCTAATGTCAAGAACCTGGAGGGTTCGATCGGTATCAAGACGGATCCTATCATTTTGTCGACGGAAGTGTCATGGTCCTCGAACTTTCAACTAATCCGAAGCGAGTCCCATGGCTTTTATGTAATCCCCGGCGAATTGTACATACGCCCCTCGGGTACATAGATTTCGAAATTCTACGATTCCCGTGTCTGAGATGCTTGCTACGGATTCTGGATTACGGATTTGTTTTCGTTGGTCTCGCGTCTCATGGATTTTCTGTTGAGAATCTAAGTTTGGGATTGATATCGCGGAATCTGTCAGTAGCTGGTACAAATTTTAATTAAAAAAAAAAAAAAGTTATACCTATAACTAACTCATTAAAGACAAGGTAATAATTGATCACGACATATTTATTTCAATTTCGCGAAATATTAGAATTCTTTTGGTACAAATTTTAATTAAAAACAAAAAAAAAAAAAAAAATGTTAGACCTATAACTAATTCGTTAAAGACAAGGTAATAATTGATCACGACATGTTTCTTTCAATTTCGCGAAATATTAGAATTTTTTTAAAGTATTGTAAAAAGAAAAAACTAAACCTGTAACAAGAACTAACTAATAATTTATCACAATTTCTTGCCATGTTCGCTGTAGCATACCTTCATCAATGGTGGCTATGACATCAGTGATCCCCTGTTTTAGATCAGCGAGGTATATCAAATGAGGCAAGAAAAAAAACTTAAATATATACTTCTCATTTTGTAACAATTTCCACTTATCTGTCTTTTCGTTTGCCTTCGTAGTAAATTTTTGATATTGTAAAGAGACTTTATGAACACCCTGTAATATCCCCGCGAGGAGTCGGAGGCTTTCCACTGAAGTCTCTGTCACGAAGTTGGAACGATTCTCGCAAGGAACCGCGAGAAACGTGACGTTTCGAGTACTTTTGCCAGCTCGCCCGAGAGCTACGAAATTACGAGAGAGCCGGGGGTCGGCTTGCGTCTCATTTTCCTAAAACGAATGGCCGCGCCGGAAACCGGTAGTCGTCTGGCGGAGCGGAGGGAAATCCGGCTCGCAGCTGGCACTCGCAAACGATCGGTGAGAAGAAAGATCACCGTCAGCGGCAATTATTTACCAACGAAAATCCAGCGGCCCCCTCCCCCTGTTTAATTAGTCACGCGGCCGGTCTAAACAGCTTTTAATAATAGGAAGTACCGGCGTAAAGGCCGGTCGCTAACGACGCTATACGTTAACGCCACGAGGCCTAACGAGCTCGCAGAGAGACGCGTTTCAGTTCTTTTTTTTTTTTTTTTTTCTTCTTTTTTCACGTTTCATTTCCTACACACCCTTCCGTTGTTCCCTTCGTTGGTCGTTTCGTTCCCTTTCCCTTTCGACTCGAACCGGGAGCTGTCTGTCCGCTCTGCCCTCACCGATTCCCATTGTCGCTTTGTTTCGCGATGAGAATCCCGCGTGTTCGTGTTCCCTGCTTTATTGGAGCTGATAACCATTTTCTTTTTCATCTTCTCGTTCTTTTTTTTTTTTCTTTTTCTCTCCATTGTCCGACGAATTTATCGCCGCTCGTCGAGTATCGGTATCAGGGGGGAAAAAATCGAGAAGCAAGTTTCATTGAAATGAAATAACGCGACGGTGTCGGCGCAGGAAGTCTCTGTAGACGCACGTGGCAAATTTTCAGTGATTAAAAGTGAAACAATTTTGTTGGTTAAAGTTAGATCGTTTCTCGAGATATTGAAAATAAATCGGGAACACGAAGTTCGAGAATTATTGGTAAATTTCATTATATTTTGATTCTTTGGCGAGCATTGTCACTTTCTACCAAATCTGTAAAATTAAATCTTTAATCCTCTGTAACTTACCGAGCTACATATTCGTGTTAACTTTAGTTAAACGAATCCGAAAAATTCACCCAAATTTAAATTTAATGTGAATTTTTAAATTTCATTGCTGTTGCATTTTATCAAATCACGGTCAGTTTGTAGCAACAAATTTTCAAAGATCAGCTGGCTAAGTAAATGCGAAGAAATCCTCCTTTTTTCTTAAAATAGTTGAATGACTAGCTATATATAGACTTCCCCTCTTAAGTGGCTGACTTCGCTGCATTATCCCCAATTTAATGATTCACTTAAACCTGTGCCTCAGAGATCTGTCATTTTCGATTCCATATCTCGCGAATCCTCGATATAAATCCTCCGTCATGCTGAAAGTTTCATAGACAGAGCTAAATTTAACGTTGCCTAATTCGACGCTCAGAAGCAAGCTTGAATTTTAAGGCGCCCAGGCCAAATAACCGCGTCGTCCGTTGCCCGCTTAAATTTCTTAATCGCGTTTCCTTCATCGTCGAAAGCGAAATTGCCGTAATTCTCCATTAAATCTGTCTATTTGCCGCGGTTTCGAAGATTGACTTGATGCAATTTCAACTGTCAGAGCAACGTCTTCTAAAAGATTAGCACGTTGAGCGTCACCGGTAATGAACGTTCCCACTTCTAAAAATATTTTAGAACGATCATAAAGGAATACGAATGTCATCGACAAAAGAAAATCAAATAGGTAATATTATGAAGTGAAGAAACACGCTTCTACTGTAATGCAAGAGTTTATAAAAATTAAATTGAGAGTAAGTAGTTAAATGTTGAACTGAGTGATTAATGTGCTTAGATGATGTTAAGTTCGTTAAAACACTCTTTTTTCTTTGATTCTTTTAATAATTTTACAATTTTTGTTCCAATCGATACAATTGTATACCTATTTCATAGTATTGCGATCACTTCGAATGCAGATCAGATCGAACTTGTACCCTGCAAAGTGTATAAATTTCACATTGGCAATCAACGTGTTAATCATTGTCTCGTTCGTTTTTATCAACAACAATCAATTCGTAATATAACAATAATAATCAATATAACTGTTAACTTTTACGAAGAAAGAAAAAAATTCTATATTAAAAAAAGGAACCGCAATTTTAATGCATTTGTGGAGAATTATAGAACGCACAAAATTGCAGTTGAGCTCATATACGAAGTATAAACAAATTTTTACGTGCCACTTTCAATTAAACTTGGTAAAATAATTTTCTCGTCAAAGTTCCATTTCTCGAGGATTTCCAACTCGCAACGGAAATCCGCAGTCTGCCATCGAACAAGATTCCAATGTACATGTATTTTATATTCGGAAAAATGTTAGAACCAACGAGTCGCTGAGACCATCCATCGTTCGAAGGTTAAAGAAAGAGCTCACCTGAATGGTAACGGGACTCGGTCACGATCGATTCTTGAACACAGGCCGGCTCCTTGCCGTTCCATCGATCTCCGGTCATGCAGTACCTCGTGTGCGATCCCTCTAGCCTGTAACCTCTTCGACATCGTATATGACATCTAGCTCCAACAGGATAATCCACCGCCCCGGAAGAATGACCCGGACATCTGATCTACAATAAGAGGGAAACGCCGGGGAATATTACAATACGTTCGTAGGAGCAGAAACTATTAAGAAACTATTGTACCGAACCGTACTGGACGACTTCAAGCGACGTAATACGACAGTGAAACGCGATACGACGGTATTGACGGTATCAGAAATTTGATTATTTCGTTTATTATTCGATTTATTCGAATTATATTATTAATATATTATATATATATATATATATATATATATTAAAGCGATACGACAATATTGACGGTATCAGAAATTTGATTTTTTCGTTATTATTCGATTTATTCGAATTATATTATTAATATATTATATATATTAACAATATATTAAAATTATATATATTATATATATATTAATAAAGTATTAAAATTATATATATTATATATATATTAATAAAGTATTAAAATTATATATATTATATGTATATTAACAAAATATTAAAATTATATATATTATATATATATTAACAAAATATTAAAATTATGTATATTATATATATATTAATAAAATATTAAAATTATGTATATTATATGTATATTAACAAAATATCAAAATTATATATATTATATATATATTAACGAAATATTAAAATTGTATATATTATATATATTAATAACATATTAAAATTATATATATTATATATATTAATAACGTACTAAAATTATACAGTTATATAATAATATATTGAAATTATATATATATTAGTAATATTATATTAAAATATATATTATATATATTGATATATTATTAATATCATTCAATATTATTTCGATTATGTACGAATTTCTTTTGGCTCGGATCAATAAGATGATGGACATGAAAATATATTAGATTTTAATCTTTTCGTGATTAGATTTACATGTGTGCTTTTATTTTATTGTTTTTTCGTGAAATTCTGAGGTGTGTGATTCAATTTGGATAAACATTAACGATAAATATATGTATCCTTCCATTCGTTGCATTGGAAATTGTTTATGTTATAATTATTTATGTTATAACGTATGAAATTGTTATGTGAAATCTCACGCGAAAGAAATCTCATTGAATTGTGTTGTCCTTGCATACAAATTCATTTATTTTATGTTGAAAAGGATAATTTAATTGTTAGAGTCAATTTATCGTAATAATTAAAAATCGACAAATCGTGTATCGCATTCAAGACTTTTCTGTAATATTAAGTATTGTTTAGATGGGGTGACGAAGATAATGTTTAAAAAAAATATTCGTCAATGAAGTTATAAACATTAAGTTAAATAGCATATAGCAAATAGTGTGACTAAAATTTGACAGTAAGTATTCTGATGTACGAGAACGTGTTTTGTTGCTAGGAGTAAAATATTTCTCTCGGAATAACAGAATATTCCTTTGTCCCAGCGACGTTCTGCATTTTTCTCGGCAAATTTTCAAAAAAATCCCTTTAGCGCCCTAGAAGCGGAATATCTCGAATAACTTTTTCTCTTGTTCCTTTTTTATCACTGCCTGCATATCAATATTTTAAAAACAACAGAGAAGCTCGTGTTGAAACTCTTTTAATAAAAAAGAATCATCCTTCGCATCACTTAAAAAAAAAAAAAAACTCCACGTTCCTTTGTCATATTAAACTTTCAAAAAATAGCTTCCAAAATAAAAAATTTTGTACTCTAGAAATATTCAAAATATTCTATCTAATTGACCCTCGTCTCAACTTTGCACAATTTCTTTTGAATAATTTTTTGTAATTCAACCCCAGGTGATTTTTACACGCGATTCACTTATTCGTGATAAAACAAAATTGCAAATTTAACTTTTATTCGTACTTTCGTTTCTACAATATTAATCTTCACCAGTTTCTCAATTTGATACACCACGAGACAGGTAAAATTAGAAAGATTCGTTTTATTTGAAATAGATCCGTTTAATTTAATATATTTTCCTCCTTTTTTCGCGAAAATTCACACGGAAGTAGTATCAACGCGTTCCGAACGTATCGGACGGTTTGGAAAAATTAAGTTTCATAGAAGAAATTACGCACTTCGGCGTGCAGAGGCGGTTCCATGGCACGACATCTCAATTCCGCTGAAACGCAAGTTCTCTCGTCGGAAGCCAACACCAGGTCACCGTTGCACGTACAGTAGTAACTTCCGGCTGTGTTAACGCATTCGCCGTTGCAGCCCCCGTTACGGTTCAAGCACTCGTTTATATCTTGGCACTGGCTTCTATTCCTGGAGACAAAAGCCAGAAATTCGTCTGGAGAAATCTCGGCGACGCGAACGCGACGCCGAACGTCTCGATAAAGCGCAATTGAATTTCTTTTTTCTAGGCACACGTGGAATCTAAAAAATAATCTCTGTTTCACGTTCAAAGAGGAAAACTTCGAGAGAAATTGAATCTGTAATAATAAATGATTTTCGTAGAAATGGGAATTTTCATACTTAGAAAAGATGGAACTGAATTCTAATATTTTGAATTTAAATTTGAAAAAAAATACTTGCATTTTGTACAATATCGCAGTAAATTTTAATTGATACGGAGACAATTGCTGCAAGAAGAAATTTGAAAGAAACACTCGAGTATTATGAAAAATATTTTTATTGCGATGAACTTTAACGCTGGCGATTGAAAATAAAGAAACGACTCTAATTATTATTGAAATTGCGCGAGACCAGGAATATTTCTGTGTGACAGTCAGTTGTAGACGGATAAATTTAATTAGTTTTCTCACCTGAGATCCGATATATAACCAGGATGACAAGCACATACGTAGGAGCCGACTGTATTAATGCAATCTTGCTCACATCTGCCGTTGTTCCACTCGCATTCATTTATATCTAATTAGAGAAACGAGAAGGTTAGCACAGTTGGTATACGCGAATCTCTGATTTTTCAATCCAAACATTTCTGTTTAAATAATTCCAAACGTTTTACGTAATTCATGAGCTCTGTTGTTTTTTTAAACATTATAATTAAAGAAAGCAATTTCAAAGTTAACAATCTGTTTGTAAATCATAAAAATGTTCTTCTATTTTCACCATTTCGATACATCATTTATATCTCAATAACATATGAACGACTTTACGATCTTCGGTGATATTGTTTATCCAAAAATAATAAGCTTTCGCTCTGTGAAAAAGAATCGAAGCAGAAACATATTAAATCAAGCAATGCAACACGTCCGATTCAAAAATTTTCTCAATTTCCCCTTTACAAAAATAAAAGGATCAAAAATACTCGGCAGTAGAAAGGTCATTGAAAATTGATAAAAATAATAATGAAAGAAAAAAAGAAGACGGAGAGAAATAAATCAAGCTCCAATGCTCCGCTGAAAAATTGCCCAAATGCAATTTACAAAAGGGAGAGAAAGCGAAAGAAAGAAAAAGAAAAAAATTTATCTCGAGTCAAAAAATATTGCACCACCGTTCCACTGAGAGTCCCCCCCAAACGCACGGCCGTTCAATTATTCCGAAAACTAGCTAGTTACTCTTTGTCTTCCTAATCAAACTTCAACGTCATCCGAAATTCCCCCCTCGACGTCCCCCCCTCCCAATTTCTGGAACACGGAACAACCCTTTATTGCGGGAGCCGAAGTACTCCCTGTTTGGCCGTATTATATTTAACCACTTGCGCTGGCAACTGATTGCGGACCTTAACGAGCGACCGAACATACAATACAATACAATAACTCGTCGCTTTCTTTTTCTTTTGAGCTCGCCGGTATGATAATCACTGGACAGAAATTATTAATAACTGATAAACTTATCATTCGTTTCGCCTGGGTTACATTTAAATATACTTGAAACTGAGAAAATGTTGCAATTTTGGGACAAAAAATTCTCGACGTGCGTGGAACGTGATTCCAGCGCAAGAAGTTACGAGTCGTTAGGCCTATTTAAGGGTTAACAATTTCCAGTTGCTTTTTCACAAAATTTATTTTTGCCAATTACACCTTCCTAAATATTTGTAATGTATTATTCTTCACGTAGTTAACATTCCTCATTAACCATTTGGCAAGTGATTGCGGACTATAACGAGCGACCGAACCGTATACAATAACTCGTCGCTTTCTTTTTCTTTCGAGCTCGCCGGTATGATAATCACTGGATAGAAATTATTAAGAAATGATAAACTTATCATTCGTTTTGCTTGGGTTACATTTAAATATACTTGAAACTGAGAAAATGTTGTAATTTTGGGACGAAAAATTCTCGACGTGCGTGGAACGTGATTCCAGCGCAAGAAGTTACGAGTCGTCAGGCCTATTTAAGGGTTAACAATTTCCAGTTGCTTTTTCACAAAATTTATTTTTGCCAATTACACCTTCCTAAATATTTGTAATGTATTATTCTTCACGTAGTTAACATTCCTCATTAACCACTTGCGGTGGCAACTGATTGCGGACCATAACGAGCGACCGAACCCTACAGTAATTCGTCGCTTTCGTTTTTAACTCGTCGGTATATCGCTATAGTTGGATAGAAATTGTTGAGAAGCGATAAATTTATTATTTGTTTTACTTAAATATACTTAAATTTTGGAACAAAAGATTCTCGACGTGCGTCATTCCAGCGCAAGAGGTTAACGCGCGATTAATCGTCGCGGATCCTTTCCGTTTGATCAGAATTACGAGTCAGTTGAGCGTGCACAATGTCCAACGACGGCGACATTGAGACCTACTTCTGAAACATCGTCGAAGTCTCGGCCGTATATACTTGCCTATGCAATCATCTCCGCGTGGCCTAAATCCCGGCGAGCAACCGCATCGATATGAGCCAACCGTGTTGATGCAGTCTCTCTCTTTGCAAGGCGTATCCTCGACGCACTCGTCGACATCTGCATCAGGGCGAAACTTACGGTTAATGGAAACCGTAGCGAATCTTTCGCTCGAGCAAATATTTTCCACGTACATACCTACACAATCGTCGCCGTCCAATCGATACCCTGTCTCGCAATCGCAACGATAGCTGCCGTACGTGTTGATACATCTGCTACCTTTGCACGCCGCTCTCTCGCATTCGTCGACGTCTAAGGATGATTATTATTGTCAGAGCAATATTCTTACCATTATTAGAGTTACTTTTAATAATGCTTCGAATGATAATTTAAATGATGACATACATTTTTCTACGTTTCTTTGTTTGACAACGAGCAGAAATCGATATTAATTTTGACAAAAATTTGTCCGCGTAAAACGAGGAAGTAAAGAAAGGAAATTTGAGATCCGTCATATCGATGGGTTTGATTGTTTAAGTGTAAATTATTTACTTTTATGAAAGTTTGTTTGATCTACTAAATATTGGACATTTTACAGTTATAGTTTATTACGAGTGATTTTGAATCTTCACAAACGCAACTAAAAGTATGAAATTTAAATAGAAATTGTTTTGTTACTCGCTACAGGAAATACTTTGAGTATTTTATCATGTGAAAAGTATTCTATAATCAACCGGTTGATTTTGCATAGAAGGATAAGGGAGGGATCACGTATTCATCATTCGTGATTTTCTTTTTGAGAAAATATAATTCGAATGTGCATGAAGTTGAATTTAGATAATTCTGAACTGGATAGCAGTAAACAATATGAAGGAGGTTACTCAACATGAGAAAATAATTAAATAAAATAAACTATATTATTATAATAATAACTAATAATAAATAAACTAATAAAACTGTAAAAATAAACTAATTATATAAACTAATAAACTAATAAAAACATTACTATAATAATAACTAATAATAAATAATAAATAAACTATATTATTATAATAATATTAATAAATAATAAATAAACTACATTGTTATAATATTATTATAATATAATTAAATATTATAATAATTACTAATATATTGTAATATAATTAAATATTATAATAATTATTAATATATTATAATATAATTAAATATTATAATAATTACTAATATATTAGAATATAATTAAATATTATAATAATTACTAATATAATTATTATAATAATAAACTGTAGTTTCCCAAAATAGAAAGTGTTTCGTATAAATACATTTTAAAATCGGTAATATTTTTATATGACGATAATTTTACGACGTGATATTTGAAAGGTTTTTCTAGAGAGATGGTATCCTTGAGGGTGGTGATAGAGGAGCCACAATGGAGTAAATGTTCCGTGAACGTGGTGTCGGATATAACGATGTAAAAAGATGTTTCCACGCGACTCTTTCTCTCTTGGTTGCAGATTATTTCGTAACAGTTCCAGCTACGATGAAATTTCAAATTTTGATCTCGAACTGTGTATTATATTTACGCGCAAATAAATTACGTTTAGCGATTTCCTCTTTTTCTTGAAACGTATGAATTTTTATTACGAATAAGTTCGCGAGTGAATAACACGGGAGGGAACGAGGAACGAAACTTTAATGAAAACGAATCGCAAGAAAGGTGAGCTACGGAGTTGGAATATTATGTTTCCGCTCTTTCAGCAATAATGCTGCCTGGTACAAGGGAACCGACTGTAAATACATATTGTTTAATCTTCGTGTTTAATCTCCCTCGACCTGAATTTTTAATTTCCTACGTCGTGCTTGGTTATATCCTCAATCGAGAATAACCAAAGCAAAGTCTGGCTTTAAGAAATACAGAATGTGCAGTCAAACTTACATGCAACACATGTGTTTGTTGTATACATTCAGAATTGAAACTGAAATATTTTTTATTTTATAGAATGTACACGCATTGATTTCATCAGGAAAGTTTTCTAGATTTCTCATGAAAATTTCATAAAATAATGACATTCATAAACTGACAAGGAATTTAAAAATGACCAAATAATAGTTTACAATGAAAGTATTCGAATACTTGTAAAAACTTTTTGTGAACCTTTTGTATTTCATTGATACATGTAATGAGACCCAACTATTACGATTGCAAAAGAATCAAGTGACTCAAAATTCACACAGATCAATCCTATATATTGAAACAGATAGAAGAATGATAATTATAAATATTTCTTTTTTAAATTGTCTCTGAAATTTACAAGCGACAAATAAATTCATGAAAATAAGGTTTCCTTTCTGACGTGTAAATTAATGTTGGTTAAACTTGATTAAAATCTTAAAACGCTACATAATAGCATTCAAGTTACCTATTTATACTTATGTATATATATATGTATACAATGTATATTATTTTTTATACATTTTCAAATTGTCTTTAAATTTACAACAATATCACAACAAATGTTGAACGAAATTTCAAAATGTTCTATCCACAGAGACAAAACAGAAGAGATACGCTTCTAAATGGATACAATACTCACCAACACACGTAGAATTCTGCATCTCGAATCCTTCTCTGCATCTACATTCGAACGATCCAACGACATTCACGCACAGCTGATCGCACCCATGCTGACCAACAGCACATTCATCGATATCCTTGCACCTCGAGCGATCGTTCTCGTCGTGCCGGAAGCCTTCGCCGCACGTGCACACCACCGCGCCGTTCTTCTCGTTGCAAATCTGCTCGCAGCCCCCGTTATTACTGCCACAAGGATCCACGTGATAGCACGACTTGTTCCTTAGCTCGTAGCCAGCTGGACAGTTGCATCGGTAAGAGCCAAGCTCGTTGATACATTCGTGAGAGCAGCCACCGTTGTCATCTTCACACTCGTTCGCGTCGACGCATGATCTCTCATCTTCGCCCTTCAGAAGGAAACCTGCCGGACACCCGCAACGATAGCTACCTTCCGTGTTTACGCAATCGTCGGAACATCCTCCGTTTTCCATCTCGCACTCGTCGATGTCGAGACAAGTCTTGGAATCCGTGTGCAGACGAAAGCCATCGAGGCACCGGCAGGAGAAGCTGCCCTCCGAATTCTCGCAGACGTCTGAGCAGCCGCCGTTCTCTGTCAGACACTCGTTCACGTCGCTGCACGTCTTGCCAGCCTCGTCCAAACGCATCCCAATAGGGCAGCTACATCTGACACCTCCGATTACGTTGAAACAGGCGTGAGAACAGCCACCGTTGTTCACCGTGCACTCGTCGATGTCCACGCAGCTCCTCGAATCGTTTGCCAGAACGTGGCCAACCGGGCAGGCACACTTCCACGAGCCTACAGTGTTGACGCACTCGTACAAACAGTCGGCTATCTCGATCTCACACTCGTCTATGTCCACGCAGGTCTTCTCGTCTTGAGAGAGCTCGTGACCCGCTGGACAGGAGCAGAAGTGGCCGCCTATGGTGTTGGTACACTGATGAGAGCAGCCGCCGTTCTTCTCCAAACACTCGTCGATGTCCAGGCAGGTGGATTTGTCGGTGTGTAGATAGTGTCCCTCGTAACAGGTGCAGACGTAGCTTCCTAGCAGGTTCAAACAGTCGTGGCTGCAGTTGTGCTGGCTGTTGAGGCACTCGTTCACGTCGATGCAATTCTTCTTGTCCTCCGGCAGCAGAATGTATCCGGATGGACACTCGCAGTAGTATCCTCCCTCGGTGTTCACGCAGATGTGCGAGCAACCCAGGTCCACGTCGTTCTCAAACTCTTCGCACTCGTCGATGTCTTCGCAGGTTCTCTGATCTTGTTTCAGTCTGAAGCCCAGGGGACAGGAGCAGCGAACCTTCTCGCTGTTTTCTTCACTTGGGTGGCAGTGATGGGAGCAGTTCCCGTTGCTCTGCTTGCAACCGTCGACCAATCTGCAGGTTTTACCGTCGTTGTCCAGAGTGTATCCCGAAGGACACGCGCAACGAAACGACCCAACTAAATTCAGACAGGTATGAGAGCATCCGGCGTTCGAGGCTTCGCACTCGTCCACGTCGTCGCAGAAAGCAGGCTCGACGGGATTCACTTTGAACCCTTCGTTGCAAGCGCACTCGAATCCTCCGTCCGTGTTCGTACATTTGTGCGTGCAGTTGTCGGACAGTTCCAGACATTCGTCGATGTCAACGCAGGTGGAGTTGTCGTCTGCCGACAGAGCGAACCCGGACGGACACTCGCAGCTGACGGACCCGTTGGAGAAGGCGCAGATGTCGGAGCAGCCGCCGTTGTCGATGAAACATTTGTTCGCGTTGACGCAAAGGCGTTGATCGTCCGAGAGGATCATATCGGCTGGACAGTGGCAAGACGTTTCCCCGTTCTCGTAACGGCAATCGTGGGAGCAGCCGCCGTTTTCTGTCAAGCATCCGTTTCGTTCCACACAGCTAGTCCCGTTTCCTGACAGCGTCATCTCTGACGGACAGGAACACGACACCTTTCCACTCTCGTAGCTACAAAAATGCGAGCAACCGCCATTCTCTACGTAGCATTTGTTCTCCTCGGTGCACGTGGCGTTGTCGTCCTCCAAAATCATTCCGGGCGGGCAGAAACAGGACGCGGTGCCGTTCTCGTAATGGCAGAGATGAGAACAGCCGGCGTTATCGATCAGGCATTCGTCGATCTCCACGCACGTTTTCCCATCGTCTTCGAGCAACTTGTAATTATCGGGGCAAGCACACTCGACGCCACCCTCGATGTTTGCGCAGAGATGAGAGCAGCCGCCGTTGTCCTCGATGCACTCGTTCACGTCCTCGCAGGTCCTCCGATCGCCGGCCAGTCGATAGCCGCTCGGGCAGCGACACTCGAAGCTGCCGTCCGTGTTGACGCAGGAATGAGAGCAGCCGTTGTTTACCTCGTTGTTGCTCGCCTCTTCGCACTCGTTTCTGTCCAGGCAGCTCTTGTCGTCCTTGGACAAAACATAGCCGGCCGGGCAGCGGCAGTGAAAACCGTCCGGTCCAGCGACGCACTCGTGGGAGCAGCCGTGTCGACCGGCGCAAAAATCAATTTCCTCGCACGTCCGACCGTCCGAGTTTAATTTCCAGCCGGCGGGACACTCGCATTTGTAACCACCCGCGTGGACGTTCACGCACGTGTGGCTGCAGTTGTGCGTGTTACGCTCGCACGAACCTTCAGGATTCCAACAGGTCTTATTATCCTGCTTAAGGAGCAGATCTTTCGGGCAGGAACAGACGTAGCCACCCTCCGAGTTCTCACAACGATGGGAACATTCGTGGAGACTTTTCGCGCATTCGTCCACATCCTGGCAGGTCTTGCGGTCCTCCGTTAATTCGTAACCCTCTGGACACGTGCAGTCGAAGCTACCCTCGGTGTTCACGCAGTCGTGAGAACACGCTCCGTTGTTCTCCAGACACTCGTCGATGTCCTGGCAGGTTGATCGATCCGATTGCAACCGAAGCCCGGTCGGACACTCGCAGTGATAAGATCCTTTGGTATTCACACAGCCGTGAGTGCAAGAGTGAAGACCCTCGTCGCACTCGTCCACGTCGCCGCAAGTACTCTCGTCCTCCTGCAATTCGAATCCTTCCGGGCAACCGCAACGAGTTTCTTCGTCGTCTCGCTCGTACGTGTGCGAGCAGCTGCGATCGCTGGACGCTCGACAGCTTCTCAGATCTTTCTCCAGCCTCCATCCGGTTGGGCAAGTACAGTTGAACCCACCGACGGTGTTCACGCACTCGTGCGAGCAGTTGTGCCGCAAAGTTTGACACTCGTCGATGTCCTTGCACGCGTGTTCCTCCTTGGAGAACGCGTGTCCCTCGGGACACACGCATTCGTACGTTCCTTCGAGGTTCACGCAACCTTGGAGACAACTGTGGCTTCCATCGGCGCATTCGTCAACGTCCACGCAACTTTCACCGTCCTCCGCCAGTTTCAATCCCTCTGGACACTCGCAGACGTAAGATCCTTCGTTGTTCCTGCAGGAGAAACTGCAGTTGTGAGACATTCCTCGACACTCGTCGATGTCCTCGCAGGTCGCGCCGTCTTCGCCTATTTTGCATCCCAGTGGGCACTCGCATCTGCGACTCGAGCCGTCCGACACGCAGAAATGAGAACAGGACGAGTTGAAGCAAGGATCACCGTCGACGCACGTCACACCGTCGTCGGACAACGTCAGTCCCGAGGGACAGGAGCAACGATAGAAGCCGTACTCGTTGACACAATCGTGCGAGCACTCGTAATTCTGCTCCGCACACTCGTCGATATCCTCGCACTGTCCTCTCTCCGAGTTCTGACGCAATCCTGGAGGACACGTTAGATCCTCGCACGTCAAACCGTCTTGCAAAATCGTCAGACCTTCCGGACAGACGCATCTGTAGCTTCCCACTGTATTCAAGCAATCGTGAGAACAGTCGTGCTCGTCCTCGATGCATTCGTCGAAATCCTTACAAGTCCTCCCGTCACCTTCTATGACGAATCCCTCCGGGCAACTACACTTGAACGTGTCCTGATGTTCCTCGCAGATGTGCGAGCAATTCGCCAACCTGCACGCGTCGATTGCAACACACGATCTCTTATCATCCGCTGCTATCGTCGTTCCAGCAGGGCATCTGCATTCGTACGAACCTTGAACATTGACACACTCGTGAGAACATTGATGAGTGCCGTCGAGACACTCGTTCACATCCTGACAAGTCTTCGTGTCGTTGGCCAGCAGTAAACCGGCAGGACAGCCGCATCTAAATCCTCCTTCTTCGTTCGCACACTCGTGAGAACATCCGTGTTTATCGTTCACGCACTCGTCTATGTCTTGGCAATGGAAATTGTCCTCGGACAATTCGTATCCATCGCGGCACGAGCAACTGTAGCTACCAACAGTGTTCACGCAAACCTGACCGCACGCGTGTCCAACGTTTAAACACTCGTCCACGTCCGAGCAAGTCTTCTTATCGTCGTTCAGCTGGAATCCGGCTCGACAGCCGCAAACGTAGCTGCCGTGAACGTTCACGCACTCGTGTTCGCAATTGTGCACGCCTCCTGCGCACTCGTCCATGTCGGTGCAATTGAACCTATCGTGCTCCGGTGTTTCCAGGCCTTCCGGGCAGACACACGCGAAACTGCCCTCTAGATTCACGCACGAGTGCGAGCACAGGTCGAGAGTGCACTCGTCGATGTCGACGCAGCTCACTCCGTCCTGGCGAAGCTGATATCCACTAGGACAGACGCATATCGGTCCCTCTTCTGACTCCTGGCACTCGTGAGAACACCGTCTCGTCAGACTCTCGCAAGTTTGCGCTCGAACACAGGTGAGATTGTCCTCCTTCAGGGTGAACCCAGATGGACAGGTGCAGTCGAAGGAGCCAACGGTGTTGTTACAGGTGTGGGAGCACGGGTTGAATGGTCCGTTGCACTCGTCGATGTCGTTGCAGGACACACCGTCTTCGTGGAGCTCGAAACCCAAGTGACAGGTACAGTAGTAACCACCGGGCTCGTTCACACACTCGTGCTGGCAACCGTGAGGCTCCCCTTCGTCACCCTCCGCGCACTCGTCGATGTCTGGAACGATAATTGATTTGGAAAATTCATTTCATTTGGTTATTTCGTTTGTTATTTTGGGGTTCGTTTGTTTCAGTTTTGCAAACTGTGGACTGAACTGCGGATTTTTATCCACACACAATACTCGAAATTATTACTGATTACTTAGCACCGAAATTTCTGCAACTTCTATAGTATCTGCTATTCCTAGAAACTTTATTTTTATTAATAGATATAAATTTTTTTTAACATTTGGCACTGGAAATAAATTTCTGTTTAGACTCTCACTTTGTTCGATTGTGTTCGTAAAAATATGAAATTCCACAAAAGACTCGCAGCCTATTAATTAAATTAGTAGAATGTTTTCTTAGATTTTTTTCATGGGAATATAAATTTATTAATACAAAAATTCTCAGTCTACTCGACACTAAGTATGTTATTTAATTTAATAATAATTTAATTATATACTACTTTTATGCTTTCGAAAGTTTTTATTTATTTCATATTATCTTTGAATCGTTTTCAATTAAGAACTGAAAAAGGAATATATGTGTTGGTAAAATGATTCCACAATAAAATGATTTCGCCTTGTTATTATCTCAAACTTTGAATAATTACAATATCCTCAGATTTTAAACAGTTCCATTAAACTTTTCATTAAGCATGAGACGTTAAAAAAAACATTTTGAAATATCACCGACTAGTTTTTCAGAGGAATAAAATAACAGAATATGTACGAACCAATGCATTCGCCGTTTGTATTCTTTCGGAAGCCATCCTCGCATTTTCCAAATTCCGGCACATCCGTGACACCCTCTTCCTCGTCGTAATCGTCATCGTCGTCCTCACTTTCTGCGTCGTAATCCTCATCCTGAAGGACCTTCGTCATCTTTTGAGGCTTGCTGACGCATTTAAACGAGCCGATAGTGTTCTCGCAATCAGTATTATTCGCACAAACCTTGGACGCGTTTTCGCATTCATTCACGTCTAATAATAAGATAAATTGCACCATCCGGTTACGTATACGCAGCGTGAATAATATTAATTGCGTTAAAACAGTGAAACTCAACATTGTGTATTACGCTTAAATGATTGATCTTTTAAAGATTAAGATAACTGGTTTTTAACTTACATTCTCACTTTGATTATTCAGTTTGCTTTAGCTTTAGCTAACGTAAGGCAACATGATTTTATAAATTAATATTTCCTGTCTACTTATGTATAGTCAACGTCAATGTAGTTTGAATCTACATGTTGTTATTTAAAAAAAAGAAGCTTCTAAATACATTCGTTTATAAAAAAAAATCCAATTAATGGTAATAAAAGTGAAAAAGAATATGTAACTTAAATCTATTTACTTAAACATTAGGGGTGTGCGAGTCGGGAAGAGGTCGAGTTGGATCGAGTCGGGTTCCCGAAAATTTCAGGACCCGGTTGCCGTTCTTCGAACTACTCTGCAATGCTATATAGCAACCTACAAAATATGTAAATACACAGTTCAATTTCTTCTGCGAGTGAAGTTATTGGAAACACGGATTCTAAAAGTCGTGGACATTATGTACGCTGTCGAGCAGTATCGCTGAGACATTCGGAAGTTCGGACGTATATTTCAAAATCTGTGTGAATTTAATAAAGATTAAAAATTTAAAAAAAAATATCGAGTGATAGTGAGAGTAAAGTCGTGGTAGCAGGAAGCAGTGCGGAAGATATCGTGCAAAGGAAGAAGATAAAGAGAAGCTCTGTTTGGGAACATTTTCAAGAAAAAGATGACACAAAGGCGGAATGCACGCATCGTCACCATGAATTTAAAACTAGGTATGCAAATACTACTGGTTTATTACGCCATTCGAAGCATATGCATCCAAACATAAAGTACATGTACTAGAAAAGAAACTGAATCGATATAAAATTTGTCGCTGGTACAAAATGATACGCGAAAGATTGTTAAACCAAAAGATACAACAGAAGGAATTGCTCGAATGATGGTTCTAGAGCAGCGACCATTCGATACAGTTGAAGGCGTGGGCTTTAATGAATGATTTAAGCTTGTTTCCAATCCTTTCCCAAATCCCAACTCTTTCGGGAATCCCGATTCTTTCGAGAATACCGATAAAAATTTTCCAGAAAAAATTTTGTGTTCCCGACCCGACGCGATATTTCGGATTCTCGCACACCCCTGTTAAACTTGTATTTAAATGAAAAATTATGAACGATTAGACATGTCTATAGTTGAAGTAATCCAAATAAAATTATATGAACTATAATTATTCAGATTTTCTTGTCCTCCGATGTACGCACGAATAAAATTCTATTCTATCAGTGAACTCTCTAAACTACACGAACTATTTAGTCATCCAAATTATATAAGCTGCACTTTCAACAAATATTTCAGCCTACGAATGAAACTCTACTGTAGACTCTCACATTACCGTTAAAACGAGCAAAGTTATTAATTTCTAGACTTGACAGGAGGATTATAGACTTTACAAAATATTCGCTAACCTTATTACAACAAATGCACACCGATGAATAAAATTCTATTAAAATTCCACCAGCGTGCTATCACTTCTACTAATAAATTCACGTGTAACGCGAACATCTAATTGAATTTTCTATCGTGTAATTGAGAACGTTGTTGAGACCCAACGGAAACATGTTGCACTTTACCTTGGCAAGTTTTCCAGTCGTTGGTCAGGTAAAAGCCATCTGGGCAGAGGCAGAACGCACTGCCGGGCGTGTTCAAACAAACGTGAGAGCATCCACCGTTGTTCGTGAAACACTCGTCGATATCCTCGCAGGTGTGATTATCCCGGGCCAATTTGTGACCGGGAATATCGGCGCAGCTACACTCGTAGCTCCCTTCGAGATTGCTGCAAGTGCCTTGGCATGGACCGTGCCCGTTATTCACCAGGCACTCGTTTACGTCTGAACGGGAACAACCAAGCGGATCTTGTTGAATTGTTTTCGAAATTTAACGAACGATAGTAGCTCCGCGACTATCTATTTTCGTTGCTGTTGAAGATAGTGTTTCGAGGAAACGAATCTCGCGATGAGTGAATCAAAATCGAGTCGAATGCTTGAGATAACGACCGTCGGTTTCACGTTTTTTTCGGAAGAGAAACCCGAAGTTTCGACGAAGCGACGAATGGAAGAATTGAAAGGTTTGAATTCACGCGCGTTAAATGACTCACATTTTTCTTCTTTTTTTTTTTTTTTAATCAGTAATTGTGTAATATTTTAATATAATAATGTAATTTAAATTTAATATTATAATTTTGGTGTAATAATGTAATTTATCTGTAATTTATTATTGTATAATTTATGTGGCTACATTTTTGAGAGACCTAATGAATTTTGATGATTTATATAATGCGCGAACTTGGAATTTCACTTTGTCATATCAAAGAAAATTTAAAAATATATAAATTAAAAGTTAAAGATACTATAATATTGAGTGGTCGTTTATTTACAACTCGGGGATTATATTGTTTGTGGAAACAAAATGGAATTAATGAAATTAGTTTAACTAACTTGATAAAAAGTATCACTCGAATGAAAATATCTTTAGTTTAATATATCTAATTTATCAAATTAAATTAATTTGATGTAATTTTTGTGGCAAAAATATCAAACAGAAGAATATTTTTATCAAAGTGGTATTTTTTTAATCTTTACACTTAAACTGTGCAAGTTTAATATTACTTATTAAAATTCTTTCCCTTTGATTCTCTAATTGTTTATGCAAGCGAAATAAAGAAAGCAGCACGACAACATAAGCAGATGAATTTTAATTCACCTGAACCTGTTTATTGAAACTCGTTAATCGAATTAATGAAATAAATAATGTTTATATTTGAGATCAACGTAAATAAATTGCTGTTAATGGAGTAGAAATCATAGAACGCAACAATTATGCTCAACTATAATAGATTCTTGATTGTTTGAGCACCTGTTAATAGTGCTTTTAATTATCCAAGCACCGATTCAATTCAATTCCAATCGAACTATCTCGTAAAGTCAATGAACGCCCATCTGATATCGCACAATATGCTGCATCTCGAGTAATTCGATGTTTCAACAACGCCAATTCATATTACCCAGTAATTTTCTGTTAATAAGATAAAGCCAAAAGATACTTCACATTTGTGGATTTTTCACGTTAACTTGTAATTAATTTAATTTGTCAGAGGTATAATTTCATGGAAATTTAATTGATAGATGACACTAGAACTGATGTTTGCGCGAAGTTACATTTTTATAAACGCAATTAAAATTGTTAATCTTTCTAATGGAATTCGTAATTTTGAAACGTTTCAAACAAATCTGGAGATTTGATTGAGTTCTATTGAGTCTTTTGTAAATTATAAACTTTATAAACGCGGTTTCTCAGAATTTCATTAATTTCATAAATTTCATAACAACTGATTTCACAATGATGTTGTCTCCGTCTTTGGCTTTTATTTCCAAATTTAAGAAATGTAGAAATCATTTATATTAACTAGAATTACCAGAGTAGTCCATTTCGTAATTTTTCATAGAAGTTTAATAAATTTACTACGATTCGTTTTCAGAAATTAAGATAATTCCACGCAAAATATAACAAATAAAATTTTGCATTTTCTCTTACATCATAAACTGCTTTTTAATCGTTGAGTATTCATACTTTAATCACGTTCCGGTGTTAAAAATTATTAAAATTATCCCCCGATTGTTCATCGAATTTTTATTATAACTATTTCTTTTCAAAAATAATAAAACATTATTGTAATTATACCTCATTCAGACAATTAAATTGTTCTAAAAAGAAAAAAGAAAAAACACGGAAATGTAAAAAATTCAAAGCTTCAATCATCAAGGGCTGAAACGCAGTTAGTTTATTAGAATTTATTAGAATTTATTTGCTAAAAGTAGGAATACGAAAACCCGGTGTTGTTAATTGTAACACGTTAAAAAAAAAGAAAAAAAAAGAAAAAGTAAAGATATTCCGAAGTCTAACTCCCAGTCACTCGACTAAAAACACCGGATAACCAGTTTAATCAAGGACCGTGGGCGAAACTACCCTCAAAAATTCATCCAATTCCGTTGATTTAATCCACCGTCGGCAAAGTTGCACGTGAAATCGCGTGGCCACCTCCACCCGCCGTCTCTAAATTTCGTTTCCAAAGCCCTTTCCGTTTCGAAATGGCTTGTATCAAATTTAACCCCTTGCGCTGGCAACTGCGGACCATAACGAGCGCCGAACCGTATACAATAATTCGTTGCTTTCCTTTTCTTTTGAACTCGTCGGTATGATACTCACTGGATAGAAATTATTAAGAAGTAATAAACTTATCATTCGTTTTGCCTGGGTTATTTAAATATATATAAATATTTATATTATAATATTTTTATATAATTAATTACAATATTTTTATATAATTATTTATATAAAATATTTATATTATAATATTTAAATATTTATTTATATTTAATTTTATTTAAATATACTATATTTAAATATTTATTTATATTTACATTTAATTTTATTTAAATATTTATATTTAAATTTATTTAATATACTTAAATATACTTAAAATTAATTTATTAAATATACTTAAAACCGAGAAAATGTTGTAATTTTGGGACAAAAAATTCTCGACGTGCGTGGAACGTGATTCCAGCGCAAGAGGTTAAGAGTCATTAGGCCTATTTAAGGATTAACAATTCCCAGCTGCTTTTCCACAAAATTTATTTTTGCCAATTACATCTTCCAAATATTTATGATGTATTATTCTTCACGTAGTTAACATACCTCATTAACCACTTGCGCTGGCAACTGATTGCAGACCTTAACGAGCGACCGAACCGTATACAATAATTTATCTTTCTTTTCGAACTCGAAATTATCGAGAAATAATTGAACAAATTTATTATTTGTTTTGCCTGGATTACATTTAAATATACTTGAAACTGAGAAAATGTTGCAATTGAGGACAAAAAAATTCTCGACGTTCGTGGCACGTCATTTCCCCGTGTATACTCGAGAGAGTAAAAGCGTACGAGAGTAAAAAGAAAAAAAATTATTCTCCTCCCTCTTCCTTTTCTCGCTCGGTCTCTCGCAGGGTTAATCAGTTTGAATTAGCCGGGGACAGACGATAAAACGCGGCCGAAAATATATACGAACCGCAACGCGTAATTCGATAACCGGCGACAGGGGTTGTTTGTAATTCGTGCCTCGGCTCGTTGCTGAACAGCGAAAAGCCAGCAGGGGTGAGCTTTGCTTCCTTAGTCAGCCGGCTTTCTACGAAAAGACAAATTCCCGCGGTATCTCAGAGCGAGAAGGGGATGGTTTGGAGATTGAATTAATCCGTCATGAGTGTTGAACGCGTCCTACGTGTAAATTCTTTCGGCGAATCTGCGAGCTTTCGTCGAGTTGACAGACGAATAAATTTGTAGCGGATGTTCCACCGTGTTCGCGTTGTTTTCTTTCCTCCTTTCTCTCTCGCTTTTTTTCACATTTCATGATTATTTGGGCCCTACGAGTCTATCGAGTCTATCGTTTTACTTTTGCGCCGGTTGAATTGAACTTTCTCCTGAAATCTTTGCACGCATGGCACATCTCAAGACTTTCGTGAACTCGTTGAATGTCGAAACTTTCGTTATTCGCGAAAAATTAAAACGCGCGTTGCAAATCAATTTTGGAATATAAGTCTGAATTTGGGAAAGTATGAAGTTGGAAAAACAAAGGCATGAGATACTGAACTGGGAGATACTGAACTGGGAGATACTGAAAGCATCATCTATCCCGGATTTGGACAATATTTGAACGCGTGTATTATATTTTATTTTTAGTAATAATCAATAGTTTTATTATTTCTTGAAAATAATATTGTAAATTCTAATTTTTCGGAATTAATTATAATTCTTATTTGTAAGTCTGAAATAGTAAGTTATTAAAAAACGTCATATATAACTATGAGTCAATATTTGGCTTCTGAGCTCATTTACTGTATTATATCATTATTATTATTTTACTTAAATATTTTATACAAGACGTGGATTAAGAATTAAATTTGAGAACGTATATGAATAATTGTCTCATTGTGTATTAAATGAAATAGGCGCTTCCATAGAGAAATTTAGTACAATTGAGCAAATTGTGAATACGACAGATAACAGAAATTTAATGACATTTAATAACATTTAATACCGTCACGTATATAATAATTAATTATCCCAGAGAAAATATAATTCAATGTGCCGAGTAAAGTATTATGTTATATAAGTACTGCAATAAATATCATGTATTTAATCAGAAGTTTCGTTTCAGCTCATACATATTCCACAGAAACTTTATTATAGGCGTCGTAACTATAATTTCCCTAATGTATTCAATTTAATTAAACAGCCATATTCCATTAAATCGCGCCATTTATGTTATTTATCTGCGTTTCAAATCTCGCAAATCGTTGCACCAGTTATCGAAACAACTCTCGAATTGTAATTATAATTCATTATCCTTTTATTATTCTACGATCTATACACCACTAGTTTCAAATTTATTATTTAATAACGTATCGTTATAGCAACATCATACACTTTAACGTTAATTCCTCGTTGATGAAATGTTCAATTCAAAATTAAGCGCGTTTAATTCTGGAATTTTTAAAGAAAACAAATCCTTATCCAAAAGATGTAAAACTTTACTAACGACTTCAGTTTATATTAATAAAATTTGTTTCATTCCTCTATAATATAAAATTTTATTCGCATAAAAGCTTGGATATTAAATTAATGAGTATTAAATTTTCGTAAATAATTTCTAGTTTTGTTTGTAAATAATTCTTTAGTAGGTGATCTGATCCTAATCATGGAAAAAATTATAATGTTATTAGAATATTATGACACACTGATACAGTGCAAACAACGTAACTTGTCTGTTTTCTTTTTCTAGGTCGAGAAGTCAATGGAGTGGCTCAAAAATAATATAATGGTATTCGGTGCTTGGAAAATATGACTAGAGGAGTAAATCGATCTTATAACTTACCCAAACAGGATTTGTTATCAGTGTCCAGTTGATAGCCAGAACGACACTCGCAGTGAAAGGAGCCGGCGCTGTTTTGACAAATTTGAGCGCAACCAGCTGTACCTTCGGCACATTCGTCTATGTCTGCGAAAAGATCAAAGAGAAACCTATTATCAACACAATTGCTTGCGTCGAATCGTCGCAATCACGTTTTTGATTAAACACAACTCTTTGCAAAAATATAGCATTACAAAAATTTCGAAACTCTTTTCTGAAACACGAAAAATGTTACTTAGTTTCAAAGAGAAGAAAATTTTGAAAGACTCTTCGATATTGACAGACAGTTGAAATTTAAGTACGTATTAAGTAGTTATTAATTTATATAATAATAATAAAAGTCAAATACTAGTATAGATGATAAAACTGAATTAATAATGAAATTTATAATGAAATTTCACGTTACGAAATTAAGTTTCCCTTGGTAAGAAGAAGATCAACTTGTTACGAATTGAATTTAATAGATCTAGATGACACTTTCAAATTAAATTAAACTTTCCAAGTAGAAGAAGATCAACTTGTATCGAATCGAATCTAATACTTCTAGATGACACACCTTTCTACACTTTTTTGTTTGGTACATAGAATATCTCACGTTATCTAACTGGAACAAACCATAGCATCGAAATGGTAGAAAATGGAAATAAATATTATCAGGAAAATATTCGAATGATATAGTTTATTTCCATCAAAAATTTAAAAAATATTTTAACTTTGATCACTCTTTTTGCAAATCTTATTAAACAAAAAAAAAAACAAAGAAAATCATTCAACTTTGCTTAATAAAGTGTCTTTTTTCTATCTTTCATTGTTTCAAAACTCTGTATATTTATATTGTATACACCATATGCTACTGAATTTAATTTCCAAATACGATCACGTCCTCGTATCAAAATACCGAATTATGTAAAATAATGTTATGAGAATGGTAAAAAATAAATAATAAAAATAGTAGAGTGAATATAGAGTAAAAATATTAGAGTAAATAATAATAGAATACAATATAAAAAATAATATAATAAAATTATCTATATCAAAATAAGTAGTACGAAATTACAGTACTATACTAAACAGTACTATAGACGTAAATAATAATATAGGAGTACTATAAAATAATATAATAAAATTATATACATCGAAATAAGTAGTACGAAATTACATAAACAGTACTATCCTAAACAGTACACATTACAGCTACTAAACAGTACTATAGACGACGTAAATAATAATATAGGAGTACTGTAAAATAATACAATAAAATTATATACATCGAAATAAATAGTACGAAATTACATAAACAGTACTATCCTAAACAGTACACATTACAACTAGTACTAAACAGTACTATAGACGACGTAAATAACAATATAGGAGTACTGTAAAATAATACAATAAAATTATATACATCGAAATAAATAATACGAAATTACATAAACAGTATTATCCTAAACAGTACACATTACAGCTACTAAACAGTACTACAGGCGTAAATAATAATACAGGAACGCTATAAATACAACGATAAATAAAAAGCCAGTTTCCGAACGTACGCGTCGTTCGTCAATTTTTCGCCGGGAGGATATCGCGCGTGACCACGCGAATGTGAATTTATAGGCGGAGATTATCGCGAGGACACGGATTCCAGCACGTAGAGACCGGAGGCAGAGAGGCCGCGGTTTCCACTTGAAACACGGTTCGATTCGCTCGTGTTCGCAAGCTCGTTTTCACGGAGATGCCGACGTCGATTAGCATACAATGGGATTATACAGGCACCTTCAGGTCGTGTTCGGACCACGCGCTCTGTCTGCCCTCCCTCTGCCGCGATTCGCGCGCCGCACCCGTCCTCTGTTAAAGTTGACTAATCGACGCGAAAGTGGCCCGGTGATTTATGCGTCGGCTGTTCGCCAAACGGGACGAAATGATTCGCGATTATTCCCCGCCGATTGACGGATGACGATTGTTCCCTGTTTGTCGCCGTGGCAAGCGGTCCCTTCGGAACTTTTACGCTCGAGAAATATAGGTATTATTATAGAAAGGATTATCTTCTAAAGGAGCGTTGTCTTTTCGGTTTTTCTTTTTTTTTTTTTTTATTTTTTTCTTTAATCCTGTGTAGGGCGAGATTTCATTCGTAAATTTTTTTCTTTTTTGAAGATTGTACGGAGGAATAAAGGCTGAATAATTTAACATTTTCCTCATATTTTTTTTGAAAGTCTAAGAAGATTATGCAGGATTGACGAAATATGTGTTTGAAATATTTTAAGGGAAATTAAATAAATTTGAGAAAACTGGATAATTAGTCATTAATTAGTTAGCAATAAAACTAGTAAAATGATTAATACATTATCTTTTTACGGGAATATTTCTCTGACAATAGTCGAGAGAGATAAAATTTGGTGCTAACCTTAGAACAATTTTCTTCTGGAATATCGTTGTTTCTCTTTTATCCTTCAAAGTCAATCGATGAGGTATTAAAATATTAAAATATTAAAATATTTCGGATAATTCATTCAGTCTAACACTATCCAGAAGTTCAAAACAAGGCTGTTCAAAACTTTCCATTTAAATTGGTGCATTTATAGAATTACAAGTGATTTTCAAAGTTTAATACATAAATAAAAGTTCATGCTCTCTGTTATATTACAAATTTTCTCCCAATTCTTGCTTTATCCTTTACTTGCCCCGATACGAGCTTTATGCTTCAGTCGTTGGTAGCTCCACAATTTGACAACGAGGAGAACAAAAAAATCCCCGATACTATTCCTCTTCGGACAAAATAAGAGAACAAAGAGAGGAAAAAAAAATAATTCAAGCAGCGTCTGACAATATCCTCCTTCAATCGCGCACGATCCGGTGGAATTTATCGGAATTTAGTGGAATTTACTCAAGGAAAGCGAGATCTCCCGCGATTTACGAGTTTCTCATTCAAAAGTCGTATCTGCTTTTTTCACGCGCCGAATTACACGGTCCTCCAACTTTAGATTTCGGTCCCTTACGGATTTCGGGCAAGTCGCGCGGAAGAAACACGGGGACCGGCCCTGCGGAGCGTGGATTTTAGGGATGGAAAAATTGTAAGTCACCGGATCCGCCCACGCGACAACCCCGTGCTGTATCTCAATCTCAGATCGAAACGATTTTATAAATCCCAAGGATTTGCCGGGGACATTAAACACAATGGTCGACTGAAATACGAGATTCTTACGTGTGTGTCTCTTCAAGCATCCACTGAAATTATTTTCAGTCCTTGATGTAATTGTTCCTTACTCATTTTACACCAAACTATCCACGCAAATTAATCACGCAAATGATTGGTAATGGATAAATATTTTTAATTCGGACGATTGAAACAATAAAATTTCTTCTATTATTTTTTATGAAAATTCCAGAGAAGGATTAATGTATAAGATTCTGTTTCAAAGAGAAATAGAAAACAAAAACAGTCCTTCGAAGAAATTTCTGTTATTTTGTTTACTGATTGTTTAATGAAATAATTTACTGTTTCTTAAATAGATCTCTTCAATCATCCACTGAAATTATTTTCAGTCCTTGATGTAATTGTTCCTTACTCATTTTACACCAAACTATCCACGCAAATTAATCACACAAATGATTGGTAATGGATAAATATTTTTAATTCGGACGATTGAAATAATAAAATTTCTTCCATTACTTTTTATGAAAATTCCAGAGAAGGATTAATGTATATGATTCTGTTTGAAAAAGAAATAGAAAACAAAAACAGTCCTTCGAAGAAATTTCCGTTTTGTTATTTTGTTTACTGATTGTTCAATGAAATAATTTACTGTTTCCTAAATAGATCTCTTCAACCATCCACTGAAATTATTTTCAGTCCTTGATGTAATTGTTCCTTACTCATTTTACACCAAACTATCCACGCAAATTATCAATTAATCACACAAATGATTGGTAATGGATAAATATTTTTAATTCAGACGATTGAAATAATAAAATTTCTTCCATTACTTGTTATGAAAATTCCAGAGAAGGATTAATGTATAAGATTCTGTTTGAAAGAGAAATAGAAAACAAAAACAGTCCTTCGAAGAAATTTCTGTTATTTTGTTTAATGATTGTTCAATGAAATAATTTACTGTAATTTCCTAAATAGATTTTTTCGTATGTCTGTAATTAAATGCAAGCGATATTGTATTTAATTTCATTTACATTGTCTATCACTACACGTCGAGGATATTCAAATTATAGTATGATTCCAAAAATAATTCGATCTCTTCGTCGTGCACAATATTTAATTTAGAAATGTTACAATTTAAATAATTAATTTAATTTTTATAATAATTTTAATATTTTCGTCCCGATTTGACAACAAGAATTCTCTTAGCTAAAATAAAGATCGCTCGCCGCAAGTTACATTAATTTCTAAAACAAGTTAATCGTTTCATCGTAACGTACGTTCTACATTTAATTATATCGCGTGATCCATAGTGATTTCGAACGAAATTGGATTAACTTCTGAATGCGTCTCGTTATAACGTTCGAATCGTGTAACACTATAAGCGCTGTTCATTCTTTCAGCCAGCTTTCTTTCATCAGCACGTGTCGCGGTGAAACAATACTTGCAATTATAACGTTCGAAATGAAAAAAAAAAAAAAAGAAAAACAAGTCACCTATGCAGGAGGATCCTTTGACGCGGAATCCATCGAAACACGAGCACCTCACGCCAGTTGGAGTGTCTTCACACACATGCTCGCAACCACCGCGATCCTGATTGCAACGTTTCACGTTATTCGGTGTCGCTTCTGAAACAAAAAGCCAATGAATTTTTTCGCTACGTGGACGACCTTAAATTGATCGAGCACGATATTTCTAGGGATTCTTTGCATCTCGTGACACAGCTGCTATCCGCGGTGAAAAAAAGTTTCGAATTTATATAACGCGCAGCGTGCACGAATATTCTTCTCGTTGGATTAAAGTCGAAGACTGACAAAACATTTCAATATAATCGTAACACCACGAAATTGTTATTTGTTAATATTTGAACTTTGAGAAGAAATTTCAAGAATTCGCCTGATTCACGTGATTAATAATAATTAACATTTAATAATTAAATACTTTTATATATTTGTTTAATAATTAACATTTTTTTGACGAGATTATATTTTTCTAATGATATTCTTAAAAATATAAATATGCGTATATACTCAAGATGTGAACGTGAAACGTATGAAACATCTTTTTTTTTTTAACTTGCACTCTGTAAATTTTTGTGTCTTTAATTATAATACTGAAAGATCAATTTTATATTTATATATCTTCGCGAGAAAAGAACGTTGTAAATCTATATTTGAATTAATCATTTTGATCATACATAATAATACATTTATGAATATTTAATACCAGGATATTTTCAATCTCTTTCATGTATCGTGAAAATATTGATTTTCGATAGATATTGTATTTCTAAAGGGATTTTTTCGAATTCGTAAAATTAAGAGAACTATAAAAAGATACAGAGTAACGACACACAATCTGTGGCGCGTGACGCGAAAACTTTAAACGGATTCTTTTTCGAAATCGCACTTTTTAAAACGTCTGACACAATGTTTCCCTTTTTCTTTTCTATTCCGTGGAACACGAAAAAGGAAAGACATAGAAAAACTTTGAAACGCTTCCAATTCCAAGAGTTTAGAATTCTCTTGAAAGTATTTCATTCTATTTCAAAAAGATGCTGAAACTTCAAAGTACTGCGAAACGTGCCATTTTCGATATTTTCCCTTTTCTACGTTTGACACAATTCTGTCTGATTCTAAAATTAAATTAGAATCCTTTTTTTCTCTCCAATTTTGGAATTAGACTGTCTCTTAAAAGGCACTATTACTTTGAAAGTATTAATTTTGTTCCGTGTCGAACAAGAAAAGGGAAAATCAATAGAATTTCGATACAACGCTCCGAATTTTCGCAACCGTGCAAATTTCAAAATGCTCTACTTTCTATCCTTCCTCCGTCTAAAAACAGTCTGCTGTCTCGGCTATATCGAGCACATATTTTTTTCAAATATCGGTTCTTCCTCCACGGCATCTTACCTTCCATTTTTACACAACGCGGAAGTGCGCCTAACCAAGTGCCATCGCTGCAGAAAAGTCGATCAGCCGTCGAGTCCTCGAAAACGTATCCCTCGGTACACTTGTAAACTGCTACGAGGTATCGATTGTACGGTGGCAGTACGTTCTTCCTCCTACAGAAAGAAAAAAGAAAGAAAGAGGGAAAGAGAAAAAAAAAGAAAAAAAAGTACCCAGGGAAATGTGTTTGGCGGTTCGATACGACCGCGTATCGTAAATCCTTATCGAACGATAGGCAACCTTAATAAAATATCAACTGATCTCCATGAAGCAACGTAACGTTATGTATCGTGTTTAGGAATACTTTATTTTTCAAACAATGAAGATAAAAGAACTGAAATATCAAAGTATATTTCCATTCTATTCTATCGTAATATTATATCGAAAACAGACATTATATAGTACTTTTAAAATTATTTCGGCAATAATATTATACATTTATTATTTATTATTTTATTTATTTATTATTACTTATTATTTTATTATTTTATATTACTGTTTATTTATTTTTATTATTTTATTACTATTTTATTACTATTTATTTATTATTTTTTACTATTTATTTATTATTTATTATTTTTTATTATTTATTACTATTTATTTTATTACTATTTATTTATTATTATTTATTATTTTATTATTATTATTTATTAAGAAATATAAGACAATGCAATTATTATTGTGCTATGTAACATGATATTTGGAGTTAATTTAGCAGACAATACAAATAGTATATATATATTGTGTACAACAATGCTAATTGTAATATTATACAACGGATTATTTATTATGTGTTGTTAGAGGATAATGCAATGGTCATACACATAATATTTAGATATTTATATAACGCGACGAATAATTTGTTATGTATTATCACTGTACTGGGAAGAAATGGTGAATAATTCAGCCAATATTGGAATATAATGAAGCGATAGAAGAATTCAAAATGATCAACGTTCGAAGCTAAAGAACATATTATTGAAATTAAAAATAAAGCGTAAGAACTGAAAATGCATTGATTTTACAAAAAAAAAGAATTTAAAAAAAAAAGGAATCTCTTCTAGTAAAGAAAAAAACTTTATCGTACGTGATTAATCAAATTACCAAGATTTGGTCTCACATCTTCGAGGCAAAATTCTATAGGGCCAGAGAGTTAGATTAGAACTCTCTGCGTACGATTTGATCAGATACGGAAGCTCTCCTTCGAGAAACTTCCAGAATATGTATAGAGATCCTCGATGGGTAATTCCATCTCATATCGCGGGAATATGATAATAGCGATATCGATCAGCGAGATTTATTCAGAGAGAATCATCGATCGTGAGAACGTAGATAATTAGAATATTCACAAATCACGAGTTACGAATTCATAAGTTATCGGGTCGCGAGTAATCGTGAATTTCTCAATGGATTCAGTCTGCAAAGATTATTTAAAAAAAAAGCTACTTGAAAAGCAAATATACCGAATTGAAATTTTCATCTTCAATTTTCATCTGTCTGGATTTCGATTCTGTCGTTGACGAGTTGTATTTATTCTCTGAGGTAAAAGAGAAGTCCGAGTCGAAAGTTTAAATCAATTTATTCGTTCTTCAATCCCTCGCCGATTAACTAACAAACATTAACAGTAAACTAACAAATATTAGCTGTTACACCACAAGTATATAAAATGTACATAAAATTCAACACCAAGTAAAACGAGACGTCTCGAGAATAATTCCTTCGTCTCAAAAATCAACTCTGCGATCAATCGGATCGGGGAAAATCAACAAAAGTAAAACGCGTAGCTTGCTACGAAAGCACAAACAAACTTGCGAAATAATTGAGAAACAGGATTGAAACGTAATAAACATCCGCCCTCTCTCTCTCTGTATTCCAACCAGAGAGAAGGAGAGACGAGAAACAAAGGTAAAGGAGAGACACGAACCTGGCGTACTTGGCAGGATACGCGTTCTCAAGCGGCGGAGCCTTGGCAAATCCTTTTCTGCGAGCTTTCATGAAGCAGCTGAGATCCAACCTCGACATTATTGTTTCATTGAGGGCTGCGGCCCGTGCAGTAGCCAGCGGCGATTCGGCCGGCGACTTTTCACCGGTCTGCTTCAACCTCTGTTTCCTTTCTTTCGCCTTCCTCCGCTTCTTCAGCTCGTTGATCCTCTTGCGCGCCCGCAGCCTCTCCTTTGCCTTCTCGCCCCTTTCCGCCGCCGGTGTCGTTGACAAAAAGATTGGATCGTCGCCGAGGTACAGATCGTTGCGAAAGTGTCGGAACCTGTTGTCTGAAACAGAGATCAGAAATTGCGGTTGAAGGAAAAAAAGAAAAGACAACTCGGCCGAATAATCCTAAAGCGTGAGATCAACGATGATCTTGCGGAAAGAATTGTGGAAATTGAAGGGAAGTTTGAAGTCAAAGTCTAGAGGCGTCTTTGATTTGTCTCTCCTTTTGTTTGCAAAATGGCTAGCAGTATAAAGAGAATTTAAAATGTGGCGCTTATTATGTAGAAACTTCGAGGAACATTTGTTTTAAAAGCGAGTGGTGTTTCGCGATCAATACTTCGGAAAGTTTCAGTTTGTTTCGTTCGATCAATTTTTAATTATATTAAAACGGATATCGAAACGAATTTTGGGAATAGAAATTTACGAATAAGACAGACATTGATGTAATTAAATTTAATCGAACGAAACCGAGAAAGGAAAAAAGGATGATATGCAATTATTTAATTCCTTTCTTGGTTTCGATATTTTGTGAATAAATTATAACTTTCTGTTAATACGATTTCAGATATATTCCATAAAAACTCCGCGCAAAGCGAATATGATTATACTTTATAATCAAATTTCGTCATTTATATTTCCATGTCATAAATTATTGTTACATGTTAAAGGCAATAGCCAAACGACAAAGTATTATTAATAAATTTCATAGTAGAATATAGGATAATTACAGTAAAATAGTTCATTTAACAATAAAATAGAAACCTACTCAAATATTTGTTATTATTCTTAATGTATTATTTAATTTTTCATATATTATTTAATCAGCATAAAAATGATAAAATTGCTTAAATTTTATATAATTTGTCCATCAATAATTTTTTTTTAACTACAAAATATAATCTTTTTCAAGCAACAAATGGATGGAGGAAATCTGTTTACCAATAGGTAATGTCTGACCATTATCATATCTATTCTACTGTGTCAACTATTCTTAACATATTTCACTTCTCGTTCAACCAATATTTAAAAAATATAATTTATATCTATTAAATATCTTTATCACACACATGATAAACAGGGAATGTGTACATTGTTGGAACCTAACTGGTCTGATTATTACTGTATCTATTCTACTGTTACTCAGCAAAATCAGTTACCTCATTCATGGAAAATCATCTACATAATAAACCTGTATTATTTAACATTCTGAAGAAAACGAGAATTACTGGATATTATAACATTTAAAATTTAATTTTATTAGTTACCTTGAAGATATTAATAAAGTAATGGATTTGGATAGTGGCAACATATAATTGCACTTCACCTTTAGTATTCTACTTTATTCACTTTCACACGTTTTTTTTCCTCCTCAGTTTTAGTTTTATTTTTCTTTTTAATTACAATTTTAATACTGCACCAATTGCATGAAGTTATTATCATAACATACATTGTAAACTATACTTTTTGTATATAAAATAATTTAAAATAAATACATGAAATATTTTTTAGTTCATAATTCTTATTCTCAACTAGCTAAATTCTAATTCTCGTCTATCTAAAATTCTTTAAAATTCTCTGCTTGCCAATGTAAAGTTCTAATTCTTTCCATAGTTAAATTTAAATTTAAATTAACTAATCAACACTTTTAAAGTTTCAAAGAAGAACGCCAGATCGTATATAAAATAAATTTCCCTTTCTACCAAAACAAAGGTAATATCGAACATTATTAGAATTATATTAGAGATATATGTATATTATGTTAGAGATATGTATATTCTGTACTTTTGTCAGGTTTTGAGACTTTATTTATATCTCGTTGAACAAGCTCTAACCTAACCCAAACCTGACCCAAACCTGTGACCCATCCATAAATTCACTGTTATTAGACTAAAAATGGACAACACAAGAGAGTTTCAAAATTTCCATAAATTCAAATTTTAGTTGTAACGTGCAGAGGGTGGTATACGTAACTTGAAGTCATACGTTTAACGTTATAATTATTAAACACATAGCAGAGAATGGGAGCAACTCACAACTAAAAATCTTAGCGAAAAATGTATAAATGTCCAAGATTTTAAGGGATTAGTGCGTTTAAAAATTTTATACGAATGTTCTTCCATGAAATCTGATGTTTCGTGGCATCGTTTCATACTTTGATATAATATTAGAACACAAAGAGATTTTTCCATTAAGAGATTACTCCACTTATTGCATTATTGCAAAGGTTGAGAAAGTTTAAAAGAAATCGATAGCACAGCATCAAAGTGTTGCCGTTTCAACTATTCTCTTTAACCTTTCATCGATTATTCTCTTTCCAGCATCGAAATAAGCCGATTTCTTAATAATTCTCAAATTTGCGATCCATTAACTAATGGACGAACAAGCTTAAATAGTGAAGAAACATATTTATATTGTGTTCTAAACTTCAATGTACCCATTTTATAAGTGAATTTCTTTTTTAAATTATATTTTACAAATGTAACTTATGTAGCTTACAAATTACACGCCCATGCACGCACATTTTGAAAATTTCACATTTTATCACACATCGTATTTCACGTATTTGTGTCAGATTTGAAACCGTAAGAAGCAAATAATTTGAAAAAGTCGTAACTTGTTCATTTTCAACCTTGTTTATTTTCTTATTCTTTTTTTTTGTTTGCAGCTTATAGAACAAAAATAAATAAATATTATTTATTTCCAAAATAATAAAAAATTTTAAAAATATGATTCACTGAAAGACCGAATGATATAAAACAAAGTAACTTTTACAAACACATGTTTTAAAAATTTTTTATTATTATATAAACACATATATATTATTATTATTATACAAACATATGAACATATATGTTATTACAAACACATGTTTTTAAAATTTTTTATTATTATATAAACACGTATATGTTATTATCATATAAACATATGAACATATATGTTATTATTATATAAACAAAAGTAACTTTTACAAACACATGTTTTAAATTTTCTATTATTATATAAACACATATATTATTATTATACAAACATATGAACATATATGTTATTGCTATATAAGCAAAAATAACTTTTACAAACACTTTGTTTTAAATTTTCTATTATTATGATGATTATACCACCCAGTATAATCATTTCCTCACAAATGAACATAAAATCTCATTTACAGAGGATTACAAAGAGTGTCATCGTCAGATCCTCCTTCGTATCCTCTCGTTTCGCCAGCCAAAGAAGAAGAACGCGGCGCGGGCGAGATCCATCCGTGAGAAGCGCGCGCAAATTGAATTCAGATTGAATCGAAATTGAATCGCGGCATCGCGACACCGTGTACCGTGCTTGTCATGCATGGTATTACGATCGTTAGCGTGGTAACGAGCATCATCGCTTAAATTCAAACGCGCGGAGAACGCGCGCGCGCGCGCGTGCACGCATTACCCGCGTTAATATTGTTTATCGTGGCGCAGAGACGAGCGGCAAATAGTGACAATGCGTCGACGAACGATGATCGCGACGTGTGGTTTCCGGCGTTAACATCCGGTCACCGCGGCAAGTTTGTTCGCAAACGGCTCGATGCGAGTGCAATTACCCCGAAACAATCGTTTTCTCGACAAGTAGCGGAAGAATCTTACAATCTTTTGGTAAGATTAGAAAAATTAATCCTCAAAATGCGAGGATCTTTGATCTATTATGGAAGATAATGAAGTATAGAAGTATTTTTAGGAGTTCGAGATTTAGTTAGACGATTGGTCATTTCAATGGAGAAGATTGGAAAAATTAATTGAAAATGTTAGAACACGACGGATTTTTAATTTGAGAAGGATCTCTGATCTATGATGGAAATTTGGAGTTTGACGATTTGGTTAGATTATTTTAGAGGAGAGATTATTTTAAAGGAGAAGAGTAACTTACTTAAAATTAATTAAAGGTCAACTTCAACGACAGGCTTTATCAACTTTAATTCGATGTTAATAAACATTCAGTCAAAATTCGATTAATAAGTATTAATTGATTAACGAAACTTGATTGAGAAATATTCGAAATTGGATCGATAAATACTCAGTTGTTCACTTGATTGATAAACGCTCAGTCGATCAGCAGAAGAGGGAAAAACTGTAATTCACGAATGCAGTAATCAGCAAACAGTATTTTACTTAAAATTGAATGAATGGAAAGTCATTCGAAGAAAGACGTGACAGAATAAGTGATAATTCGAGACAAAAGAAAATTCAGTCGGTCGATTCTTTTTTTCTGTCTGCCACGTGTCTATGTTGTTCTCCTGAAACATCAAAAGTTCCACAATTTCTGTATTTCCAGAGCCGATCGTGAAAGAGGATTCGATTTGTGATAAATGGGTTATATAACCTATTCTATTTCAGGAGCAAAGACAAAGGCGGGACAATGACTTCATGTATGCGGATGCCTTAACTCATTTGAGGTGGACGACATTCTGACCGCGATCACTGCGATCGATAACGCAGCCGAGTAACTTCGTTACACCAAATGCTATGTACTTTCTTGCGCGTATCCTCTTTCACCTCTTATTAATTTCATTTCCAATAATTAATTAACAGCATAGCGATGCAGTTGTGCGAAGAAACAAAAACAAAAAATAGTAGAAGAAGCTTTCACGAGTTTCGCAACAAGAAATAATAAGAAGTTGCAGTGAAAGAAAACACGATGAAAAATTATTGTTTAAATTAAAACGATAGGACAGATCGATATTTTCAATAATAATGAAATTTTTCCTACGACTTGTAACTCGTTTGGAATGTCGAATATATTTTACTGTCTTGGATATAAATTAAGATCGTAAGGAAATTGTATCGTTCGAGTCGTGATGATCTAATACAATTGTTTCCAAGTTTACTTTTAAAACTAAATAGGAATCGAATTTATTGCCAGGATAGATCTCGCTCGATTTTAAACTCAATTTTATGAGAACGATATCGCGTGGAACGAATGATACCATATTCCGACTGTTTAATCAACGAACAAGTCTGCACTCTATTCTCGGAACGGTTTAACGATCTAATAAACGAATCAACTGCCACTTTACTAAAATAGGAAAGACAGAGTTCATTCCCTTTCTTTGGTACGTCCATCGATGGAAAAATTCCTTTCAAGATGATCCGATACGCGATAACAATTGAACAACGTATCACGATTGCGTTTCGTATAAAATTACTCTCAGAATTCTCAGTTCTTGCACAACGACGCGAAATATTAAATTGTTGACACGTGGAAAGACCAAATTTCTGATAAAACTCTCAACGTTCGTGAGAGATGCTAAATAAAAATAATAAAGAATAAAATAGCAATGCTTAATATTAATACAATTTATTAACTTTAATATAATTTAACATTAAATAAAATATTTAATATTAAACAAAACACTTAACATTAAATAAAATAATGATTCTACACATTAAATTCTAAAGTTTCTATTCCATTATTTTGCAATAGTCATTCTATACGGAGAAATATGTTATAACTTTCTCACGTTGTTACGATTTATTCTTGTCCTCTTTAAATTTTCGTTCATTTGCAGAATAGTTCTTCAAAAGTTCCACCAGTAGATAAATCAGTAGTAAGTTCGTTTGAAGTCAATCAAATTTAAAACAGAAATACCTTTAGATTGGAAAATCTAATAGTATATTCTCGAGTTTAACAATTCGAATTGCACGTCAGTCTAAGAATAAAGTCAAAAATATATACTCAAACGTCCTCCATTCTCCAAAGAGCATCCGTCAGAAATTAAAGTTTGTTAAAAACGTGTCCATTCCAGCTCTTAAATTTCGTTTGCCGATCAATAATTTCGCCCAATCATTATCGAGAGCTCAATGCCACACGTCGAGTTAGTTCAATCATGGTAATCGATACCGCTCTTATGCAATGAAAATCGTTCGCCGATTCGTGACCGCGTGGTTTCGAAAGTTCGTGGCGTACGTAACCCCCTTGTTACC